CAGTCGCAACCGTTTGCCGGGGATAGCTCAGCCTACAATGGCTGGGTAAAATTCCAGGGTCTGCGATAAGGTCAGGGAAACCACTAGGCCAAAAGCCGGGTCTAACCGGTATAGGACTGGCTCATACACGGGCACTGTGAACAAGTCAAAAACAAGTCACCAAAACAAACGTGCAATAATCACCACCAGGCCTACGCCGATTCTCCACTCTCCTAGGGGGTCGTTGCTGACTACGCAACTCGGGCTTCGTCCTAACTATCCAATAGTTAAGCCCAGAGTGCCTAAAACACGGTGAGTTACACGACGACTTGCCAATAAAAACCACAACGCGTGTTATCACCAGGCGGGGTCTACTAGGCCACTATAATCCAATACACAACTCTAATGCCCAAGCTAAGAATCAAACAGTTCACTCAATAATCGTACCACATAATAATATACAAGTACACTATAGGTAGAGTGACTACACCACTAGTAGCTGGTCTCAATAAATACCAAGCCAAACAAGCAAAACTAAATGGCAATTGCACTATTATTAAATTATTGAGCTACTTAGTAACAGATAAATAAATATTAAATACGATCCAAACACTAGATAAATATATTATCTGATAGCCGGTACTCCGCTACCCAAGCTACCGAGATAACGTGTTGGATTACTAAACAAGCTGTTCAGGTTAAATTAAGTTAATCAAATGATTAATCAATACCAACCCTACTGCTACTACCACTACTGCTACTATATCAACGTTATATTGCTTAGCCGGGCTTCTGTTAATAGGCTAATAAAACTAGCTACTAGCCTACTGGCCTCGTGCTTCCAACTACGCACGCTAAATCGTGCAGCCTAGGTTTGTCGGGCCTCAGAGTTATTAGTAATATAACTAACTCTTGGTACAACGCAAAATAATAACTACTACAGTCAATAAACTATATTATTTGCGCTCTAGCACCTGCCCAGAACCGTCAGGAATATACTTTTATTCCTGACACCTGTAAATAAATCCTAACTACCGTCAGGCTTTGACCAGCACGGTTACAACTCTAACTCTCGCAATAAAACCAGATATTAATATTATCAAACGAATAATATCAAGTCGTCCACTCACCACAAGTGGGTCAGTACCCAACTTACACCAACACTCGGCGCGATCACACCACCAACGTACTCCGACACCACTGTCACGGTCACGTACGCTCCTCTCTACGTACACCACACCGACGTATCCCAGTCGTCCACAAGACACCACACTATCCTCACTGTCCGGGATCCACGACTCGACTGTCCGTTCTCGGCTGTCCGGTAATTCCAGGATACCCAAGCTTATCCGAACTGATAAGCCGGGTCAAAGGGCGCTGGCCAGGTTCGCCGCCGCCGCTTGCTTACTTCAACAACCATGGCGCGGCCAAATAGCAAAAATATACCCCCCTAGGGAAAATAGCTCGTTACACATTTTCTTATAACTGTATACCAGATGAGTTTTAAGCTGGTAGAATGTTTGATACCTCTGGTAAATTAATTAAATGAAAAACACAACCTTTTTGAGGCCTCCTATATATTAGTGAGAAGTTTAGTCATAGTCAAGAATATTTATAAAATATACTTATTTCCTTATTTGTACATAAATAGTGGCAAATAAACTAAAACTAAAGCTTAAACTAAGATATAACCATTTTTAATTCATCCAAAGAATACATGGCCAGGTCCATTAAAAATTTTTTCAGACTTTTTAAGAAATGTTCAGTTTTTTGTAATAAAATAAACAGTTACCTTGTTCAATATCCTTTGGTGTTGTTAGATGACGACCGGTTTCGTGACGACAGTCACATCATCGGGCTAATCCTCGTAAAATGATTCTTTATAATAAATACATAAAGTTTTTACCGAACACAAAACAAAAACACATTATATTTACAGACAGAAACCATCGCGATGCGTGCACGCTTATGTCGAGCCGGCCGCGACTGGAGTTCCGTCGAAGGTCAGGGTGATGTCATGTAAAATCAGCTGATCGGTGGTTTCTGGTTTCCTTCTCTGTCTAATTTGATGATAGTGTCAAACAACTCGTTCGCCTGACTATTGATTTTGTCATTTAAAATATGTTTTGTTTCTAATTTAAAGGCCTTATATATTTCAAAACTTTTCGAGAGCTGTTGTTTTGGCTATATTGTTGCATTGTGTGAATTACTGTCATATTTTCTTTGATTTTTGAATAGTTGTGGTTGCTGTGTTCGGCGTAATTAGACTTTTGAGTCGGGGTGTTTTTTGGTAAATGTTTTGGTAAAAAAAAAAAATAGAAAATTGAGTGCAATAATATTTGTTGCAATAATTATTGAGGATCTCATTAATAAACACCACCTAAAAAAATACTTTAAACAATATTGTAAAACAATAATTGTACTTGTACAGTACAAGTACAATACTCTGAAAACATTATTGGGCACCCTTATCTCTCGGGACTGGGACCATGACGGTAAACCTAGTAGACGTATAAAAGAAATCCGGTTGTAAACCTGTACAGTACACAGTACAGTTGATACCTTGGTTGGTCAGTACCTTGGTTGCTTGGCCAGTTGGTTGTCCTTGTACAGTTGATGTAAAATGTTTTAAGAAGAAATTAAAGCCTGAATGAGTGAATAATACATATTTATATTTAATTACTTATTAGTGTAATACAGAACTGTTGTTTTGTATAATGTACTTGTTCAATGTTCGTACAGTAAAATAAAATCACATTTAAAAATAAAGTACTGTTGCGGGATGACAGTTAATCAAGGTTCTACTGACTGTATATTTCTTTCTCTCACTTTCTTGTCAGTTCTCCTTGATGTAAACTCTCATTGAACCTAATTTCTCAACTATTTTCTTTCGTTATCTTCTCCTTAGGTTTTTATATTTATTGATACTATTTATTTTCTTTCTCAAATGTTTGTTATTGTTTGTCTCTGCATTAAACCGTTAGAGATTGAATTCTTTTAACTCAGTGATTTTAACCCCTTAACCGCCGTCTAAGTAGCCTAGTCAAAATCCGCCATTGCCACTTATTTTTGCCGTTTTTTGAAGATTTTTACTTGTGATTTAAAAAATTGTACCAGTTGTTTTTTTAAAGAAAATAGTTATCAATATTGTTTGTAGACATCTTCAAAAACATTAAGCTTTAACAATACTAAAATTTGAGATTGGGGGGGGGGGTTCGGGGGTTTCTTGAGTTAGGCCTATAATAAAAATTAGGCCTACAATAAAGTCTACAATTCTAATAAATCGTCATCCTCAAGCATGTCACCAGCCATTACGACTAATATTTACTACTCATTCAACACTACCAAGTAAATAACCACCAAAAATCACAATTATAATGACACGCATAATGTACGTTAGCATTACGTAAGGTTCCGCAAGCACGAGTTTTACTGAAACTACGAACGGAACTGATCGGGACCATTACTGACCTATAATACCACTAAAATCCACCAGATTGCAGCACTAGTCAAGCAGCACTGTCAACAACTTGTTTACGTACGTATATCAGAGATAAGGCGGGAAGTGAGCTGTTAAAAATAAAACACAACAGCTGATTACGTCAACACGAGATAACTCGTACGTGGCGGTTGCTCTGAAAACTAGTATTGCCCGGCATATCTCGTGCGTGGCGGTTAAGGGGTTAATTGATATATGGTTTTGCTTTTAAATTTCCTCTTGTTATGTATATTAAATCTTACACTCTCATGTAACTATAACTAATCTATTATTGAGTTTATATGTATATTTTTTTCAAAAATGCATTATTTTCAAATTTTTAATTTTTATCACCTTCAGATTTGATGTTGTCCCATAATTTAAACACTGTTGAAATATGTTCACTATTAATTCGTGAAATATGAGGATGCAAAAGTTAAATGTAGCTTAACCTCAAAAGAGATATCTTTAATGTAAAACTGTAACATGCACACCACACCTAACTGTATCACAACAAAAACAGTCTATAAGAGACAACAGAAAATTGTAGTAGCTTGTACTTGTTACTTCTGACCTTAGTGATAATGATATCATATTCAGTAAAACATATTATATCCGGTATAAATGGGACCAGGGTCATAACGAATAAACGAATTACAGTAGAATCCCGCAAACTCGGCACTCGATAACCCGGCAGTCTGGATAACTCGGCCATCACCTGGCTCAGAAAATTAGAGATATTTTGAGTCCGAGTTAAACATGGACTCAAGCCAGCTCAAGTAAAATCATTCACAACTCGTACCAAGGATTTTTGTACTATATCTGATGACTTAATACTGACTTGTAATATAAAAAAGGGAGGTTAAAAGCTTAAAAATTGTATAGTCCTTATTTTTAACCCTAGTTCCCGATAACCTGGCATTTCACAAACTCGACACCCTTCCAGTCCACATTAAGCCGAGTTTGCGGGACTTTACTGTACCAGATAAACCGATTTTACTGAGATGTACACAGTTTAAAAACGCCTTCAGAAAGTCTCTGCAATACCCGCAATACATGAGAATGTTTATGTTGCGTTTCATTTGCAAAGGGGGTTTCTTAATTTTTTTTTTAATTTAATGATCTTGTCTCGAAAAGTCCTGTTGCAAAGTCATTCTTACTCAAACTAACGAGATTTTTTTAATCTCGCTAAATTCTCAAAGATTCGAGACCAGTCCATCCCTAGTTTACAGTCAATGATTTACGTCTGCCTAAAACGGAAATTTACAGTGTTAGAATTACTCTATGGATGTATACTCTCTACTGCCTGCCATCTGCACATGAAATCATATGTTACATTAATTGTTAATCATCTATTTACATTTGATCAGTTCTTTGAAAATCATGCTCATTAAACCATCTCTTAAATTTTATCTTTTTTATTGTATCACAATATTACTATCTATCATTAACATACAGCGATATAGCAAAATAACACTTCAAACACACTTTAAAGAGCTTGATTGGAAGTGTATATTATATTTATTTGGTTATTTTGTTCTAGGAGTCTGATAGAACCTTTGAAATTGTGGAGACCCGAGGCGTCGGCTTGGCTGGCAGAACAGCTGTTTATCATACCGAGTGATGGGGAATGGATGTGGATGGAGGAGGCTCAAGAAGTACTCAGAAAAATTTCCACTGTAAGTCAAAGCACTGCATATACCTTCAGGACAATGGCTCTATCCATGGAGTTGCAAATAAGGGTAAGTAAACACTTCAGCGTCAAATTGCTGACAACAACCTTTGTCATTCTTGTCTTAAGACCCTAAAAATTAGAAATTTTGCAATCCTTATGTTGGTCTTTTCAATTAATGTAGATTGCAGGCAAGTAAAATTAAATATACAGCCTGCTGTGAACTTCAGTCACTACATAATACAGGGGTGTATATAAAAGAATGCCAGGATTTTAATAAACTATTGCCTCAAAATTATAGACCAATATTTATCGTCTCAATCTTCTAAAAAATCATTGAATCGGTGGTTTATGAACAATTAAATGGGCACTTTGTAAACAATAATATATTGTCAGATTTGCAATTTGGATTCCGGGAAGGAAAGTCAACTGCTTCTGCAGTTCTAAGTTATTAATAAAACAATAAATACTCTTGAGGAGAAAGAAATTGTTTCTCTCACATTGGTTGACCTCTCAAAAGCTTTTGATTGTATTCCTCATAATATTTTGCTTAGTAAACTCAAATTTTATGGCATTGAGGATGCACAGTTAGGTTTTGTTCATTCGTACTTAAGTAATAGAAAGCAGTATGTTTCATTTGGTGGGATGCAATCTGGCTTAAGAGAGGTGGTCTCTGATGTTCCACAGGGCTCGGTCAGTGGACCATTTCTATTTCTAATATGTATTAATGATTTGCCCCAAGGGGATTGACGCAGTAATATATGCAACGATACTACCCTAATTGCCACCCATAAAGACATTCATACTCTATATACAATGACCAATAAAGCCATAATCCTAGCTTCTGTTTGGTTTTCAGCGAATAAGCTTAAATGTAATCAGGATAAAAAACAAAATATTTTAATTGGCCTCTCCAATGAAATAAAAAAAACTCAATCAAATTGCTGTGGTTTTATTTGGATTCTAAATTAAATTGGAAAGAACAAATAGAAACCATCTGTAAGAACAATTCCGTCACTGACAATTGATGCAAAAAACATCAAATATTGAAATATTGATAGCAAAACATTGTATCGAAACCATTGCTTATTGATGCAAATTCATTTACGTCACGCCTGCGATCTAGTGGGTGGACTCATCGATGGTGTGAACTGTGAACTGTATTGTCACTGGGTTTGGGAGGAATGCTAGTCATTATCTGTCAGCTAGATATGTGGCTCGTGTGAACCCTGCTTTAGGTCTTATGTTTCAACTAGGTCACTTGGCTGTGACATTAGCTAAGTGGAGACCTTAATTTATGGACAACACTCGTCATTCCAGTTATCTGTTTTTAAAATTGAGAATGCACAAGGCTTAAATAATATTTTCCATGTATTCATGAAAAATTTGGTTTATTTATAGTTTTAGCTAAATTAAAGTAGGTCCTCTACGATTTTTAAAATTAGATCCTGTAAAATATGCTGGCTGCCTATAGTTTTGCTTCAACAGCTGAGATTTTATCAGTGCAACTTTGAAAAATGATTGAGTTGTGATTAATATTTATAAATTTTTGTAGCAAGAGATGAAGGATGAGATGAGATGGGCACAACAAAGGAGGGAGAAGGTGCAAAAACAAAATATGGATCAAGAGGTAAAGTGTTATTCTTACTTTTCAATTCAGTCTCTTTAGCTCCTTTATTTTAGCACCTCTTATTTGTTATAACATTTTAGAAATATTTTCTAAATAAACAAGTTTTGAATAATATGACACTTAACAACATATTTGAATGCAAAATAGTTAATTTTTGTTGCATATGAAGATAAAACATTGTATGTTTTGACAGACACAATGATAACTAAAAAAGGTACAACAGTTAATATAATAGTATAGTAATTTATTTATTTATTTATCAAAACTACCATTTCAACATAGTCACCAGAACATTTTTTAAAGTTTGAAAATGTATATAAGTAGGGATATGTCGATTCTGATTTCATCTATTCCTAATAAGTAAAAATGTCCTAATGAGTAAAATACCATAGAAGTAGCCTAATTAAATAACAAAAAAATTTCAGATTTCCCCAATCCACCGTTTAAAAAGTATATTATTTATTCATGACTTTTTTACACTCTGACATAATTTAATTCTAATAACTGAGATTTTGCATTTTGTTATTAAAAATATATACAGGCTACAATTCAACAATCAAGCCTACAAAAACTATAATTTAAGTAATCAAAAATAAAAAGTTATATGATTGTGTTAACTTATTTATATCACCGTTTCCTTTTTCCCTTACCATAATAATGTATCATTCATGACCTTCATGGCTTTGGTATAGCAAGATTTTTAGTTGGCGGTTTTAAAATTTTCTGTTAAAATTCTGTATTCTGAAAAATTAAATAATTAAATTAAATAATGATCTGTCATTTACTGTAGAACAGATTTCCCTGCCGTAAATCAAGAAATAAAGAAATACCAACCTCCATAGCCTAAAATGAAAATAATTTTTTTCATGTTGACGCGATTGAGGAGGTGAAGCAAGCCATGATGAGAGCTGAGGATTTTATATTTTTAACCACTACTCTTGTAGGATTGCGCTGCTCGTAACACTCGATGTGCGAAATGCATTTAATTCCGTGAGGTGGTGTGATATATTGGACGCTCTGGAGAATGTTCCGGCATACCTCATGTGCATCATAGAAGCTTATCTCCAGTTCCACCTCCTCACGTATGACACTATGGATGGCCTGCGGATGATGAGTGTCACTTCTGGTGCTGCTCAAGGTTCTATACTCGACCCAGACCTCTGAAATGCAGCTTTGATAGCTGCACATAAAGTTGAGCTGGCTCAGCTAAAGCTAAACCGAGTTATGCACACCATAAACGCATGGATGGCAGACCACGGTCTCTTACTTGCTTTGAACAAAACCGAGACCGTGGTTTTGACAAAAAACGTATTGACATCATCCGTCCGTGTTGAGGGTGGGGGCCGTCGAGGTCCAAATTATTCATTCTGCTAAGTACCTAGGGTCATGGTGGACAGCAAGCTTAGCTGACGGGATCAGATCTTCCATACAGTTGACAAGGCCGCTAGGGTGGTTTCTTCTCTTAGCCGGTTGATGGCCAATGTCGGAGGGCCTTGGTCCAGTTTTAGAAGGCCATTAATGTCTTCGGTGCAGTCCGTACTCTTGTACGGTGCGAAGGTGTGGGCAGACGCTCTCAATAAGGAGGTATAGAGGACGTGGTTCGCCCGAGTGCAGCGTCAGGCAGCACTAAGGGTAGCTTCTGCCTCCCGAACAGTGTCCGAGCCCGTCGTCCTGGTGGTTGCTGGAGTCATACCCGTCAAACCTTTGGTGGCGGAGAGAAAAGCAATTTACCAGGGCCTTGGGGAGGACCAGGCACGATTTGAGGAACACACCCGCACCTACCAGCTGTGTGTGGCAGGAGAGCTGGGAACAGGACACACGGGGACGCTGGACCAGGTGACAAATACAGCAAGTCCAACCATGGGTTAATCGGCAGTGCGGAGAGGTGAATTTCTACCTGTTCAGGATGGACAAAGCCGTGTCATCCGATTGTATATACTGCCCAGGCACTCTCGATGATGTGGAACATACTTCTTTTGGCTGCCAGCATTGGGAAAGGCCCCGTCTGGAGGCTCAGCAGTCTGTAGGTCTGCTGTCGGTGGACACGGTCATACCGATGATGATGGAGGGTGAGGTCAATTGGATCTGTGTGTCACATTACATCGAGCTTATTCTCCGCGCCAAGAAGCTTGACCTTGACCGGGATGCGGTGTAGGTCATAAGAATCTAAATGCTAGAAACGGTGCGAGCCCTGAGGGCTTAAGTCACATGTTGGCCTTACTTGAAGTAATGTGACAAACAATTGCAGGTCTGTGTCCAACAGAGCAGAGGGGGGTTTTTAGTGAGTGCCTAAAACCTGTGTGCGTAAAATCATTTTCCCTCATCTCCTTTGAAAAAAAAATTAATATGTCAATATTCACATCAATTTACATATCTTAATTACTGGAATACTATGCCAAAAATTTGAGCTCAAAAGAACAACTGAGTAAAAATTGAGAGCCGTCAAAGATTCAAAATGGAAGATATCTCTGAACGGCTGTCATTTCCGCCTCGGTTATGCGTTTGAGTTCAAATTTGCCGCATTGTATTCTACTAATTAAGACCTTTAAAATGAGGGGTCACAACAATGGTCTTTACATTTGAAAACGTTTAGTTGCCTCCTATCTACCCTTAAAGGGGTAGGGGGGGGGGGGCAAAATTTTGATTTCTTGCAAAAAGCTATCATATAATGATATGTTGAAGTCGAAAAACTTTATCTTACGCTGTTTATTTTTTTAATGTCACTGTATAATCATTATTATTTAGTCTAGTAGTCCTCATAAGTGAACTAATTTACAATAAAGAAATTTAAAGGCCTATGTACAAAATATATATATGAATTTTAAATGGTCTGTGTTTTTGTCCTCTAGGCCCTCAAAACAAAAAGGTAAATCGGTCCTGGCTCTAAGTCTTACCACAAGACCTTCAGTAATAGCTTATTTCCTATTTTTTTGGAAATTCGCTTAAAGTGTTTTTTAACTGTTTGAAGATGATCAAAAGTTTTATGTATTTTTTAGCGAATTTCCCTATAGGGAAGTAGCTATTACCGTAGGTGGCACAGTAAGACCTAGACCCGGGACCGATTTACTTTTTCATTTTGATGTCCCCAGAGGCCAAAAACACCATTCGTTCAAATTTTTATATATGTATATATATATAGACTTATATATATATATATATATACGTCCGTGAACGCGATAACTTGAGTAATTTTTGTCCGATTTTGATGAAATTTGGTTTAAAGGTGTAAAGCAGGATAAACTTGAATGAGTTCGCGAACCAGCATGATCGGACCATGGGAACGAGGCTTTACGGGGGGTTTTATGGGGTAAAAATTGGTTTTTCTCACTTTTGACCCTCAAAACACATAATTTCCCAATTTTTCTTTAGACCTTTTTAAAGAGCTTAAAAAACAAATCATTTAGTTAGTATATAAAAGTATTTTTGTTCAATTAGTAACGGAGAAAATTAAAAAAATTGTAAATTTAAAATTCCCATGTTATTCTTATGGAAAATATTGTCAAATGTTGTAGTTTGCTTGTTTATATTTTGATCAAACTTGGCAAATTTATTTATTTTGTACTAAGCTATCAATATTTTACTAAAAACACACTTTATTAGTTTCCTTGTAGCAGCAAACCTAGGAACTCATTACCCCTAATGCTATTAAAATATATTTAACTGAAAATCAATTCAGACAAATGGAAATTCGCTTAGTCGGCAGGTTTGCTGCGGCGGGGGTATTTTATATCTACTAAAGTCCAACAAAAGTTTCTGTATCAGCTTTAAAACCACAACTGTTTGATCAAGAATATATAATTTACTCAGAAATGTGCTATATTTGGCATGATACAACACTCTAACGTGTACACTGGAGTCCCACTATTCTGAACTCACTGAGACCAAATCCTTCTGGTAGGGATTTGGAGTAAGTGGATTTCTGTAATAATTATACTCGCAACCAGGAATGTTTTGTTGCAATCGAGGGATACAATGATGACATCTCTGACACAGCAGCTGATGTTTTGATTTTGCTGTAACTGCAAAACTGATGACAAATTTGTCCTGACTGTGGAAGATCTTGACAATTTTGCTGTAATGTCGATCAATTTTTAAGATTTACTCATGACTGCACTGAACTTTTTCCTTCGCCATTGCAGAAAAAGTCTTTGAAAATGAGTGATTAATTTGCTGCAATCACAGATGATGTTCACGGTTTTGCCGTGATTGTGGTAGAAGATGATGATGTAGAAGACCGTAAAAAATTTCCATGATTTCAAAGTGACCATGGAAGATGTTTCTCGTTTCTGCCGTGACTGCTAAGAATAATAATAATAATTTTCAAACTCAAGTGTGGAATAGACAGATTTTCAAAATATTTGGGTTTGGAACAGTTGGGACTCTGCTGGGAAAGATGCAAATTATCAAGGTTCATTAGTTAAATGTATCAGTATTGTTACATTATGAGGTGATTACATTTAAAAAAATTGTAACAGGATAAAAATTGTCATGTTTCAGGGTGTGGAAATGGTCATCAGTGTACTAGACCATGCCATCAAGTTGGGCTCTGCCAAAGCTAAGCTGGAGAAGGCAGGGTTTTTGTGCCGTGCAGGATTCGATGAATGCACGATATTAAATGAACTTACGGATACACCAGATGCCCCTCTCCACAAGGCAGCTCATTTGATGTTGTGTCGCAATAAGCAGTCACAGGCCCAGGAACTGCTGAAACCTTACCTGACTCCCAACATGATCCACTACCCTGCTCTTATGGTATGTTCATAGTCATTTGTAGAGATGAATGGAATTGTAATTTAATTTCAAGACGGGATTTTTTCCCTTGGGCAAAAAGGGTTTGTTTTGAAACCTTGGGTAAATACTAAATATTCTTGCAGGTCTATAAATTATCTATAAATAAAAATTATATATTTTACCTACAACCGTTTTTTAAAGTAGCCATTTCAGTTCAGTTTTTAGAATTGAAAAGTTTCACTTAACAGCTGTTTACTTTCATAACAGCATAGTTTTTCTCATAACAACACAGGTAACGGACCAATGAGGTTCAAGGATTGAGAGAAAATAAGTAAAATAGTAATGTTTCAAACGTCAACTAATCAGCTGATCAGCTGATCAGTTGGCAATTTTAATTGTTGATCCGACTTGTTCCTGTTGATACTCGCATATTCTTAACCTAAGTTAGTGGAAGTTAAAGGAAGGTAGATTAAACTGATTTTAAATGTCAGTTAGTGAAAGCAAAGTTGACAAGATGGAAATGAGAGCACAAACTGTTTGTGCTAATCGTTTGTCACCAAAATCGAAACAAAGGTATGAAATTACATACCAGTAATTCATTAAATGGATGAAACAAAATAAGGTTAAACTGATAAATGATAATATGCTCTGGTTTATTTTAAAAACCTCTTAACCAATTTTTCACCTAACTCGTTGTGGACCACATATTCGATGATGAAATCTAACTGTAAATTAACTGTTTCACTATATTATTCTGTCGTCCAAAAAAATATGCAATATTTCCCTAATTGTACCTGATATTTATGGTAAGAATGCTGCTAGCAGAACCTATTCCCTGAAAAAGGTAACGTATTATTTAACAAAGTTTTACAAACACGTAATTACATGTAATCAGCTGATTAAACAATAAGTCGTTGCATCACTTTCAGTGGCAATGACAATAAACGAAAACATAACCTCTCTAAGAAGTTATGAGTAGTGATTGTTAGTAATTAAAAACCAGATTGTTAGTAATTAAAAAACGGTCGTAGGTAAAGTACTGTACGCAACTCGCGTTAATAGTCTTTACGACACTCGTAGAAGTTTTTAAGGCACTCGCCTTCGTGTCGTAAAGACTAACTTAACGCATGCGTAAACTACTATTCTGCATTTTACCTGTAAATAAATGTATTAAAAATAAGAAAAACCACCTCTAGCTAGCCACAAAGAGGCATTTAACCAAATATGACTGCATTTTTCAAACTATGTAGGGTTTGAAGGTCTGATATGATCACCAGTAGAAAACAAATGGTCAGCAATCTGACACATACTTTCTCCCATTAGCTTTTCAACAATGCCAAGCGGTGGCAGTAACTATGATATTTTTAGAGGAAAAGTCAAAAAAGTTGTAATAACTTAAAAACTGTAATTTTTACAACATTGGGAGTTGTGCCATTTTGGTAAGATTTGAAAGGACTGTAATATACTAAATTTTTATCCTAATTGTACAAGCTGTTTTTGTAAAAATCTGATTTTCCCGTTACTTTGTGGCAATTTATGGAAAAATCACATAAGTTACCATAAATTTTGAACTGGAATTTTGACACCAATGGGGGTTGTGCCATTTTGTAAAGAGTTAAAAGGGCTATAACATACTAAATTTTCATGATAATCAATTACAGAGCCATCATTAACATGTGACAGGTTCACGGCACCATTTTTTTCATCTCCAGCAATCACGACACCATCGTAAACATCTTTTGTGAAATTTGGGCAATCTTTAACATATCTTGCAATCACAATGTCATCGTAAACATCTCCCGTGAACACGGAGCTATCATTAAATGTGTCCTGCGTTTGTGATGTCATTGTGAATATTTCTGCGACTAGAGACTACATCATCACCTCCTGGGTTGGCAGAACCATCGTGAATATCTCCTGCCATTACATAATCGTTGCCAATCGCCATTACAGGACATCTCTCGAATCACAGAGGCGTCATCATTGTCACTGTTAGTGTTAACACATCAAAGTTGCTGAGGGTCGGAACAATCACCATCCCGTTAATAGCCTATCCCAAATTAAATTTAATCCCATCCCTAGTAATATTAGTTAATAGCTAGGTAGATTAAGTTAATAGTGATTGCCTAGTAATAAGAAGGTCGACTGTTGATTAAAAGTCATTAGGTTTTTTTTTGTTCCAAAACTGGACATAGTGGTGATCATGGCTGTATTATGATCATGATTATGATAATTTATTCTGTATTACGTTTTGTGGTCTATTGAGTTCTCTAACTGTGTTTTATTATTATTTTAGTTATTTTATAAAAAAATGTTCATTTCTTTTTGTGCTAAATGTTGTTAAAGACTCATATTCATTTTAGAATAAGAAAATTGTGTCAACCAAACAGACGGTTGTTACCAACCATAGTTTCAAAGTGTAATGTTTTTGGATGTACATTTTACCTTATCGTTTAAATAAAGCACTCATTCATTTCATTTTAATAGCACATTTTGATCTGGCACAAGCAGCTTGTTTTCCTAGACAATCTACACACTTTGAATTTGACGATCAAATGATACTGTAGTTTTTAAATTAAAATTAATATATTTAGTTTTTTTCTGGACTTAGTATAATATTGTTTTTGGAAAACCAGCACTGCAGCGCTTCTTTATCTTTGTTCAGTGACATTTTAATGCACTCCAACTTGTTTCTACATAGGAAATAGTTGTATCATCAGCAAATGATGTTACTGCAATTGTGTGAAGGTTCTATAATATTGCCATATTTAGAACCAATGTGGCTCCCGTACTAGGAGGATAAAACATTAATGTTAATCCTCCTAGCCCCCGGCGGGTACACCAGAGAGGGCCCTCTATGCTGATTCAACAAAATGAACTTGATAATTTTTTTACGATCAAATTGGAGAATTAACCTAGGTGGCTAGTAGGACACTACCTAATAAATAATTCCGTTCTTTCATTGATGCTAAAGAAGGATTTTAATTTAATGTAATTTCTTACTATTAACTTAGAAGGTTGCACTTTAGATTTGTTTACATCGAGTCATGTAAAAATTGTAACTCACATATGGGCCTCGGGCCAAATCAGATCGGTTCAAAATCAGGTTGCTTTGAAAACTGTTGATTTTTATATAATGTCGATTTTTGAGCCGAGCAGAACCTGGCCTATAAGCTTGAGAGATCAAGCACAAAAGTCAGAAAATCTAGCTCAAGTTGATTTTCTCCGTACTCAATACAATAATTTCCAATTAAAAGTAAAAGCTTTTATGTTAGCGAGGATCATGCTCACAAAATTTAATGATTAGGCCTACACTTTTGCCCCGATCGCGGATATCTACGAGAACATTCCTCCGCGGGTGACGATGACGATATCTCAGCGACCGCAGGAGATGTTCAATATTTTGCCATGATTGCGGAAGACGATAATGACGTTTCTTTTTCCGCAAGAGATATATCTAGTATTTTGCCGCGATTGTGGAAAAAATTATTTCCCCATCACCACGGGTCGTGCGAGATATTAGGAAATGGGCCGTGAACGCGGGAGACGATGATGTTGTTATCTGATGATGTCATAGGTTTGGTTGCAATCATGGTAGACTTTGATAGGCTAGTCTTCATGCGTAGGCTTTCGCGGCCGGTGTCATTGAAATCCATGATGATGGTTTACGGCTTCAACCGCGTCGTCAGTTGTATTTCACGTTTCGCCCTTACTATGAAGTGACATCCTCAGTGGCTAGGCTCAGCTGAGACTGAGTCTCAGCAGTGACTGCCATTCAATACAAACTATACATTCTAAAAAGTTTATGTAGTCCAAGCTCTCGGTACTCATTACGACAAAAAAATATACTTTACTGTGAAAAACCGTTGGGTTTCATTTTCAAGTTTGAGTGGGGGCCCTTTGTGATGACAAACCTACACTGTCAGGCTGGATTTAAAATAAAAATTAAACTAAGAACTATGTTTCAGGCTTTTCACCCATTCTGCACGTTATTGATGGAGCCAGTAAACATCAGGGATGTGGTGCAATGTCAACCCAGTGCACAACCTACTCAAAGGAGTTCAACTCAGTACCTGACTGTCAGGAAGGATATCCTTGCCGAGAGTATCCGCCTGAGAACAAATAAAAGTTGTCTGAATAGAAGACATAAAAAGAAAAAGTAAGTTTGTAGATATTAGCCTAGACACCTATTTTTATCAGTATTTTTACCTTTTTGGTAGCCTAAGGTGATGGGACATGTAGATCGATCACACAGGGGTTAGATCCATTGGGAGTTTTGGTTTTATTGTAATAATACTGTTTACAACTTATGAAAAAAAGGAACAGATTAATAACACCTTTATTGCTATTGGTTGTTTGGATTATTAAAAAAATGGTCCATAGCATTAACCTTTCACAGCCAACAAATGAAGATTCCTTGGGAAGTCAGTGTGCATACAGGCACTTTGGTGTCTCCAAACACTTACTTTTTTTAGTATTTTTACCTTTTTGGTAGCCTAAGGTGTCCAAAATTCTTATCTCCTGCGAGACGCGTTTCGCATTAATAACAATGCATCTTCAGTCGCTGTCATTGTCAGGTCTCAACATTGCCCACAGAAGTGGTTGTCACAGTTTACAAAACATATAACACAGTTCACGAAACATATATTTATATACAGTTTTACAACCATGGTCACACACGTACTGTACATCAAGCGAGCGGGAGAAGACACGCGATACCGCACAAGGTTGTAGGCCTACTGGTCATTCCTCCCTTATCTTGTCTTAATCAGCTGTTGTGTTATCCGTGGTAACCTCTTCCCCCTCTAGTCTACTGTACAGACGATAGGTTGTGTTAACCGTGGTAACCTCTTCCCCCTCTAGTCTACAGACGATATGTAACTTTATCAGAAAAGTCTTCTTTAACATTTAATAAGCTATGTTTACCCATTGAAGTGACCTTTTTAAAAATAAAATACTCCTCCCATATTTTCGACATTTGAGCGTTATCACAGGCTTTTAGCACATTTAGCGATTTTCAAAACTTATATTATGGGAAGGATGTTCTTTCAGGTGTTGGGCAACTTTGGACGTGGGATTTTTTTGGTTTCGGGCGTTATGTTCCTTAAAACGTTGTTTGAAAGATCTATTAGTTTGTCCAATATATTCTTTATCACAATCATCTCCATCATTGCATTTAATAAGATAAACCCCCTTGTCAATACTATGTTTTTCTTTTTGTTTCATACCAATATTCCTGCTTATTTTATATCCCGGCATGTAAGAAAACTTCTTAAAAATATTACCTACGTGAAGCGAGTTTTTGTTTACATATTTGAAAGGGATGAACTTGTGTGGTTGACTAGTCCTCTCATGTGTTTGTGGCCTTGATAATTTAAACTTGGCTTTCCTTATCATGTTATCAATTAAATCTGTATTGTAGCCGTTGTTGTAGGCAATTTGTTTCATAATTGATTTTTCTTTTTGAAACTCTGCGGGCGACAAATTATAAGTTAAAAGCCTGTATGCCATGGATCTGAGGGCAGCCATTTCGTAGGACATGGGATGATTCGAGTCCATTGGAATAACTAAATCTGTTTGGGTTTCCTTCCTGTAAATACCAAACTCTAACGTGCCATCTGATTTTAAAATGTTTACGTCTAGAAAGTGAATGGAGTTGTTCTGTTCTACTTCCATTTTGAATTTAATAGAAGGATAAATGTTGTTAAAATAGTTGAGCATTACACTAGCTTGCCTGTGTGTACCTTTTATGATAATAAAACAATCATCTACATATCTTCGGTAAAATGTAATTTTCTTATTGTGGGGCTTTGCTTCATTGATAATATAGTTTGATTCAAACTGTTGGAAGTAAACTTCTGCAAGTAAGGCAGATAGTGGACCTCCCATAGGTAGGCCGTTTGGGTCTTGATAAATGGTTTTATTCCATTCAAAATAGTTTTGCTCCACGATCTCCTTTACCATACTGACAATATCATTAATTTCATCAGTAGAGAATTTATTACATTCTATTAGTTTTAGTTTTAAAGCGTTGATTGCTTCAGATCTGGGAATGTTACCGTACATATTATCTATGTCCACAGTTATTAGGGTGTGATTATTATCTATATTTACATGTTTTACTTTGTCAATAAAATCCCTAGAGTTTATACATGTAAGGTCAGATTTAATGTCTATTCTAGATTTTATTAACCTGCAGAGATACTTTCCCAACTTGTATGACGGAGCATTTATAGAGTTAATAACAGGTCTGATAGGATTTCCAGGCTTATGTGTTTTTACCAGAGGTTTGAATGTAGGAGCTTTAGAGTGTGGATTGTACAGGGTTTTGCACGTTATGGGACCTATCACACAACTGTTGTTCAACAAAGACTTAATAGTCGAGGCGCTGAGGGGGTTTGAGCATGCATAAAAGTGTAACGAAATTTGACTTTTGATTGTTGCTATGGGTTCCTAGTAGATAAAGAAAATCGATGTTGTCGCATTTCTAGGTGGTTAATAACATGGGGGGGAGGGGGTGAAGTTGGGGGGCCGCCCGGGGGACCGCCGCGCACAAAATAGCTTATATCTCGTGAACCAAAAGTCATATGAATACGTTAGACACGTCAAACTGTGCAGAAAAATGCATTCTACAAATAGATTATGTAGTAGTTTCACAGAAATTGACAAGAAGTTACTAAAAATTATATTTTTTAAATTTACGATAAGTATAATCAGGAGTATAATGGTTTTTGTTGTTGTTTAGAACCATTAATTTTTTAATTGACAACTTTTGAGAGTAGTACACTATAGGTAAATAGTACTTCTGTATAATGAAACTATTGCGGTACATAACTTAACAGCTATACAATCCTCAGATCCAATAAACATAACACAAACAAAGGCGCAAAACGCGTCGCGGTCATTGTTCCTGCTGCCGTAACTATTAATGGTGAATACAGTTCAAGCTGAGACTTATATTATACTTTTAGAAAGATGGAGATTCTGAGGATTCATTTTCATATATATAAAATAGTATTGAGGGACTATTATGTAGCGAGAAATATAGTTTGTAAAAGAAGAGAGTTTATAAAAAATTTGGTGGTTAAACGTTTCCATCACCTGACCAGGCTGCACAATTGGTGCAACAGCTGTTTAGGCGATCGCGTAAAGGTAGTGTAAACGATACGAGTAGAAAATGTTAAATACAAGCCTTGGTAAGTGCCTTAAAAACTTCTACGAGTGTCGTTAACACTATTCACGCGAGTTGTGTGCATTAATTAACCTGCAACAGTATTTTAATTACCAAAAACCACTACTCAAAACTTAAAAAAGAGAGGTTATTTTTTCTTTACCCCTCATTGTCTCTGACAGTAATGCAACGAATCATCGCACCAATCGTTAACAATTAAATTGACCTGAACAGCTGAAGTTATAGTTGAAGTTCGAAGCATTATAATTTTACTTCTTATCTCTCAATCCTTGACCCTATCTGGGTACCAGTGGTGGTTATATTTTGGCCCTTTTGTAGTGGTACCATATAATTCACCAGAGAACAGTTACATGCCCATATAAGTAGATATCTATTATATATTATGTTTCAGTGATAAATGTAGAATATAATAATATAAAAATATATATTTTTTAGCAATGCTTTTAGGTGTAGTAGCAAGAGGTTTGCAAATTTTTGGATTATTCAACTTAGAAATGTCTAAATCAACCCGCAAAAATCATAAAAATAATGATTTTATCCATATTATCCAAATGTTAAGGTTGTGTAAAATATGATTCCTTACGTAGAAATATCAATGTTTTTTTTTTAATACGCATAAAAATAAAATTATAAAAAACTACCAAACTACTTTAATTACCAAATTGTATTTAATTGTTGTATGAGAAATAAATTTATTGCATCAACAGTAAATAAATATTATACTACTGTAACAATTTAGTATTTTCACAAAAATTTTCAATAGAATAATTTAATTTTTACTATATGTTTTTACTTTTATCAATATGTCAATCCATCTCTCTTTATCAAAACTTGTATAATATATGGCCAAACAGACCAATAGGTAATTGATTCAATACATTATAATATAGAACATTTTCAAATAACCTTATTTCATGTAAATATATAATAACCTATAACTTTTTGTAACAAAGTTGCTTCAATTTCAATATAATTTTACTTAAATAACTTGTCAAAATTCAAATTTAGCTCTATGGCAAATGAAAATTGTTATAATATATGTGTGAACAGTGGCCTACAATTTTCCGTGATAAAGTCAGCATTGACATATGTGAATGCAACAATGCATCAAACCTTCCTCACTTCTAAGAGTGCTGAGCTAGTATGAAGATATAAATTGTAAACTGCATATTTTAATATAAAATTTTTTTTTAAAGTGCATATATTTGGAATAAATTAGTGAAATTTGATTAAAGAAGATCCGTCCTTGTTACAAACATTAATAACTACACAACATCAAGAAATTTAACTGTGAAGAAGACATCAATTTTGGTGAGATCACTCCAGTAGACATTTTCTTTCCTTGGATCGAAGCCATTACAACACTTTTAAGCCTAACTTTTGAACTTTTGTACAAGAATTTAAAAGTCAAGAAACTAATAGAAGCTTATATAGAACATAAATTAATTAACCTTTCAGAAAATAATTCGAACATAATTTATATTTCAAAATAAATTTAATTAGGCTATATATAATCACGAGATTAAATTCAAACGCCGCTCGATCACCCCACCTGAGATAAAGATCCATGCAATATAACCCCTCAACCTAAATAAGAACTATTGTAATAGGCCTAGCCTAAAGCTTAATTTAGTAAATTCATTTGCCACCCTTTGTAAACTTTTATTGTGAACCCTTAGTTTCTTTTCTTTTACCATCAATTTTGTATTGTAATGAAATAAATTGAAGTTTAGATACTGTACATGGAGTTTCCATTGTATTCCTAGCTTGTATTTGTAGCCTTGTTACACTGCATAGTTTAAGAGTAAAAGCTCTTTCTAAAAATGTATAGTTAAATGTAGTTGAAATCGAAATTTCCTGAGTAATTTACGTCGGAATGTGAAATGTTAACATTTTTTTACGAAAACATAATTTTTATGACCTTTTCAAAACTACATAAAATTGTTATAACCAATCTCAGATTCGGAGATGTATAAATTGTAGGGAATTTATTGTAGTTTCAGATGGTGATGGAAACGATCCACCACCAAAATATATTTTGAACTCTCTTCTTTTACAAACTATATTTCCTGCTACATAATGGTCGCTCAATACTATTTTATATATATATGAAAATGAATCCTCAGAATCTCCATCTTTCTAAAAGTATAATATAAGTCTCAGCTTGAACTGTATTCACCATTAATAGTTACGGCAGCAGGAACAATGACCGCGACGCGTTTTGCACCTTTGTTTGTGTTATGTTTATTGGATCTGAGGATTGTATAGCTGTTAAGTTATGTACCGCAATAGTTTCATTATACAGAAGTACTATTTACCTATTGTGTACTACTCTAAAAAATTGTCAATTAAAAAATTAGTGGTTCTAAACAACAACAAAAACCATTATACTCCTGATTATACTTATCGTAAATTAAAAAAATATAATTTTTAGTAACTTCTTGTCAATTTCCGTGAAACTACTACATAATCTATTTGTAGAATGCATTTTTCTGCACAGTTTGACATGTCTAACGTATTCATATGACTTTTGGTTCTCGAGATATAAGCTATTTTGTGCGCGGCGGCCCCCCAACTTCACCCCCTCCCCCCCATGTTATTAACCACCTAGAAATGCGACAACATCAATTTTCTTCATCTACTAGGTACCCATAGCAACAATCAAAAGTCAAATTTCGTTACACTTTTATGCATGCTCAAACCCCCTCAGCGCCTGGACTATAATATTTTGGTTGTATTGTCTAGTTTTGTCACCTATTTCTGAAATATCATTTTTTACGATATAATCTTTAACCTAAATCGCATATAATTATATATATCTCTAACTAAATCGCTAAATGTGCTAAAAGCCTGTGATAACGCTCAAATGTCGAAAATATGGGAGGAGTATTTTATTTTTAAAAAGGTCACTTCAATGGGTAAACATAGCTTATTAAATATTAAAGAAGACTTTTCTGATAAAGTTACATATCGTCTGTACAGTAGACTAGAGGGGGAAGAGGTTACCACGGATAACACAACAGCTGATTAAGACAAGATAAGGGAGGAATGACCAGTAGGCCTACAACCTTGTGCGGTATCGCGTGTCTTCTCCCGCTCGCTTGATGTACAGTACGTGTGTGACCATGGTTGTAAAACTGTATATAAATATATGTTTCGTGAACTGTGTTATATGTTTTGTAAACTGTGACAACCACTTCTGTGGGCAATGTTGAGACCTGACAATGACAGCGACTGAAGATGCATTGTAATTAATGCGAAACGCGTCTCGCAGGAGATAAGAATTTTGGACACCTTAGGCTACCAAAAAGGTAAAAATACTAAAAAAAGTAAGTGTTTGGAGACACCAAAGTGCCTGTATGCACACTGACTTCCCAAGGAATCTTCATTTGTTGGCTGTGAAAGGTTAATGCTATGGACCATTTTTTTAATGATCCAAACAACCAATAGCAATAAAGGTGTTATTAATCTGTTCCTTTTTTGCATAAGTTGTAAACAGTATTATTACAATAAAAACCAAAACTCCCAATGGATCTAACCCCTGTGTGATCGATCTACATGTCCCATCAAACTATGATTTTGTGTTTTGTTGTTCCTGATATGTTTTTGATACATCTTGTAGAGTAGTTTTGTCATTAGTTTACATTTGATGTGATTTATTTTACCATTGATTTGATTTGTGTATTTTATTAGGTAAGTCAATTTGTAACAATTTTTATGTAGTTTTAGCAATGAGAGTTTAAGTATGGTTCAAGAAATGTCTTTAGTTGTTGATAGATTATTTCATTATGTTTAGTTATTTGTTCCTGATATGTCTTTTATACATCACGGTTATTAAGTCATTTTTAGACATAATTTATCCTATAGCAATATGGTGTTTGCATTAAAAACAGCTAAAAATGGTAACCAAATAAGTTTTTTTTCCTAGTTTTTAAATACATAAAATGCAAGCTGCACATTACACATCAAAGTTAAAAGTGCTTAAATATCTAATAAGTTAAATGCTTAATATCTATATAAGCACACTGACTTTCCAAGAAAACTTTATTTATACGTATTATTTAGTTTAAGTGTAATGTAATGTAATGTGATGATGATCCAGGCAACCAATGGTGGTTTTAAGATGTTCCTTTTTTACATAAGTTGAATACTTGGTATTAGTACAAAACCAATTAAATAAGGTAACCCTCCAAAGACTCTAAACAACAAAAAAGTTTAGTAATTTAAATAATCATGTTTTGTTTAATGTCTGTTCTGATATGTTTTAATATATCTCTGTTAAGTAGTTGTTTTACCCACCTATAAATGAACTTGTAACTCAACAATCGTTAGTCCTAGCTAGTAGAGGTGACCATGAACATAAAGCCATTACGAATAGGCAAGTAGATTTTTATATTTTTCATGATTTAGAACCATTGGATGAATACTTGTGAAATATTTTTTTGTTTTATGTTAAAGATATAAAGTTTGTATTATTACAATAAAAACCAACACTGCAATGGAAAACCCCAGTGTGATCCGAACTACAACAGAGCTAACCATTAACTTGAGAAATCCAAATGGTTACCATTTAGATTATTCTATGATATTGTGTTTTGTTATTCCTGATATGTTTTTGATACATCTTGTAGAGTAGTTTTGTTGTTATTTTACCATTGATTTTATTTGTGTATTCTAACAACAAGTCAAATTGTAACAACTATTTTTATGTAGTTCTAGTTATGAGAGTTAAGTATGATTTCAAGAAATATCTTTGGTTGTTAGATTATTCTAATGTGTTTTGTTAGTATTTACTGATATGTCTTTCATACATAATGATCATCAAGTCATTTTTTTGACTTAATTTATCCTATAGCAGTATGGTGTTTGTATTAGAAAACAGCTAAAAATAACCTATTAAGTCAACCTGTTACCTATTAAGCTTTTGTTCTAGTTTTTCAAATACATAAAATACAGGTTGTACATTACACTTAAAAATTAAAAGTATAAGTGATTAATATCTCACATCAAGTTCCAGTGATATGCTGGAAGACACCTTTATCCCCAAGTCGTATTATTTGAATATGCTCATTCTAACTTACAAATTGTTTCAGGCAATTTGTGTGTTATGTTACAATTACATTTATTTCCAAAAAAGAAATGTTTTGTGCGATGGTGCTTTTGTTTTTTGCTCAATGTATAGTATATTTAAGTGTTCACATGTTAAACTTTTTTATACTTGTATTTTATATAATAAATTTGTTATCTTATTAAAAGTATAATTTTTCATATACCTTTCAAACAACAAAATATGTGCAGACTGGCAATTTAATTATCTTTTTTTAATTAGTTCTTTTTAAGTTCTACAATAGTTAATTGTGTAACTAGTGAGCAAAGTGGCATTTTGCTGCACACGAGAGCAATGTTTACTCAGGATGAATGAATGAACTCGAGTGCAGCAATGGCCTTTTGCACTCGTGTTACACATTATATTTTTCCTACAGTCACTATAAAGCATATAAATAATTAGTCTTTCAAACACTATACAACACGTTTTTAGGTTAGGTTAAACCCAAGCCATGAACGGAATGGGAAATACTGCACCAGTTGATTGTAGTCTAGTATCTTTAAGTGTTACTTACTGTATTTTCAAGAGTACAGGTATAAACAGTAATAATCAGTATAAACACATAATAAACAAGTAGATTGTTCTTCAAAATATGACAATAAAACATTTTCAAACAGTTTTGTAACTTTCTTACTTAAGCGCCAAGAGGAAAACAGTTTGTATGCTCGTTCATACTTCTTTCTTGATTGTTCAGGTAACAGTCAGTTTCTGCTATTTCTGGTCTACCATTGATTATATTCACATTTACTCTCACCGAGTTCATTATTTTTAAACATGTTAGGCCCACTTATAATTCATCTTTCAAATACTACACTTCAGGTTGTGTTCAAACCAAGCGTTAAACGAAAATAAAAACATAAACTATAAACACAAAATGACAGGTTACATCGTAGTTATAATAGTCAATCAGCTGATCATAGTATTATTATCTTTAAGTGTTGCCAACCTATTTCCGAGCGTACACGGATTAGGTGCATAATAACGCTGTTTTGTGTTGTTTGGTTGGAATTCTGATGTGCGCCATAGTATAAACTGTGCAACAAAGTTTAAATATGCAGCAATTAGCAGCTTTCTGTACTAAACAAGAAAGGCAATTTTGTCGGGTGACTGTAGGAAAAATGGCATTAGAGAGAAATTATGAAATTTTGTGTTTTTTAGGGTAAAAAATGGGAAAAATCTATTTTTACCCCATAAAACCCCTGTTCCCATAGTCCGTTTATGTTAGTTCGCGAACTCGTTCGAATAAACATAGGTGTACACGTTTGTACCAAATGAATCAAAATCGAGTAATTTTTGCTTGAGTTATCACGCTAACGGACACACACACACATATATATATATAGCCTATATATGAATTTGAACGGTTGGTGATTTTGGTCTCTAAGGACCTCAAAAGGAAAAAGTAAATTGGTCCCGGGTTCAGGTCTTACCATGAGTACTACGGTAATAGCTTATTCTCTTTATGGGAAATTCGCTAAAATGTCTTAAATAATAAAAAAAATGAGGAAATTTGCAAAAAAATAATTGTTTGGCAATACCTATTAATTTTTCCCCTACGTATTTATATTGTATTTCATAGAAATGGAGATATAATTTCTAAGAAGAGTAAATAAGAGTAACAAAAGCAGAAAAATGTTTTATCATCAATGTTTGCTCATCATTTGAGTTAATATTCGGAGGTAATTAAGATGTATGAGAACAAAATGACAAATAACAAAAGAAGAAATGTGATTGAAAAAACTCATTTAAGTATTAATAAATATATATTTCATATTTTACTTGCGCTTCATAGAACATACCAAAATCCTTCATCGGTACAAATTAACAATATTAATACGCAATTATTAATTATTATCAGCTCAATAAACTTAACATGTACAAAACAATCCAACAATATTAACAAACAATTTTTACTTTTGGCAAGCTAAAGATATTAATAATCACAGTTTGAGCTTAGGCACATGGTTTATGACTTTTAGACATATGTAAAAGGCAATCAGCTGTAGTCAATACAATTTGTCTGAGAACTTAAAGTTAGTGGTAACAAAGCCCCCTCCATGATAGGGGGTGATATTCGAACACCACCGCTGTCTCTAAACAATGCATTAGGATTGACTTGAATAACTTGTGTGGCTACTGGTCGTGCCATGTCTTTGAAACTGTCCAATTCTAAAGGCTCACTTGAAAGAAGAGTTGAACTAAAATACTGTGCACTTTTAACTAACGTCGAATTTTCCCCATCCAAGCATTGAGACTGTTTTGCAGATCCTATGTCTAATGAGAGCCTCTTCTTAGGTATAATATTTTGGTTCTTTTTTTCCTTGTCATTTTGAGAGGAGGTCTTTTTGACTGAAACTGTTCTTAATTTCTTTTTGAGGTTTTGACGAAATACAGCTTCCTCCATAGTCAAGGGTTTAGACAGTTCTACCAGATTCAGAGGTTTGATCACTAAAGGCTCTACTTCCACTGGGATCATCACCGACCCAGCAGCCATGGCACCGTCTGAAACAAAACGCATGAATTTATAGAATGTGTTGAGGGACAAAGTCGATCATTATTGTCACCAAACATTTTTTTTACAATGCTCTGGTAAAGGCAGACAAAACAGTTAACAGTGTCAAACTATACTAAAATAAACTAGCCTATAGAAAAAATAAATACAATTCAATTCTTAAAAAAACTGATTAACATTATAATAGTTCTTCCTCAACAAAAATTCAATGATTTTTTCCCCTTAAATGATTCTAAACCTATTGATTTGTATACCATGGCAAGTTGTTGAACATTTTTTTTTACCCTTATAAGAAGGTTTATTTTCTACAAGATTTAATCTGTCTAAAGTATATTGGAATATGTCTGAAATCCCTGTATTTGAAATGAAATCCATCTGTCTGAAATCGGTGTTTTTTGCTGATTATTTTCACTGTGAAGTTTTCAAAATTTAATTTCACATACAGATAACATTTTAAGAATGTACAAATTAGGGACTGTTAGAATCTTTAGGTCTTTGACAAGTTGTTTGAAAAAACGTTTTGCAGGTTTAAAGTCATAATTCTAAGTACATTATTCTTTTTTCTAGTTTGAAAAGTTAATAAAAATCGGAGGTAATGCCCCAAAGCTCTATTCAGTAAATTAGGCATGATAAATCCTTAGTCTTGTAGTTGACAGGGTAGTACAATGCTCTCCTAAATTTAAGTCAAATACTGTATACAGTATGCATTAAAACGGTCTGTTTTAACGAGTTTTTTGGGACGTCGGTATAACGGAAAACCCGTTATTCAGACTGGCCTCGGTCCCGAGGAGTCCGGATAAGGGGGAGTCTACTGTATCTTGTTTCTTAGGGTGAAATAACTTTCTTTGGCTGAAATTGTCAAATTTAATCCATGAATGACTTTGTTAAGTTGTTCGGCGGACCTATTCGTTAATGATAGATATCTTTACAAGCTCTACAGTTTATAGTTTTACTTACTGTTGCACATCGCCTGTGTGACTGGACAGTCCTTGTGGGCCAATAGCAGAGTCTTGAGATGAGCGACTTCTGCTCGTAAGGCTCCGACCTCAAGCTGCAACTGCTGATTGGCTGTCATCATCTTCTCGGCTCGTTGCTCCAAGGTAGCCACCCAAAACTTGCGCTTTTCTCTGCACCTCATTGCAGCAGCCCTGTGGATTAACCTTGGGTTAGAATTTTAAACATACCGGATTTTCCGTCTTAGCTCTGAGTTGTTCTTTGTAGTGGATGACCCAGGTTTTGGTTTTTGTCAAGCGCTTATCATATCCATCAGGGATATATATTTATCAATCTCTTGATGTCGTCAAACGAGTCAAATAATCAGCTCACGAATGAACATAATAAGAAGATTATTTATTGCCTAGAATTTATTGCTGCAAATAGTCAATAGGAACATACCGTGGCGGTCTGTAACAGTGCACTCTGTTATGTGATTTTGTAAGTGTTCTTTTGTGTTCTAAGTGTGTTAACTGTTTTATGACATCCAGATATGGATGAATCTTAACCTCTGATGGACTTGATTATACAAAAACCGAAACTTGGGTCTTGAAAGGATGTGTCAGACAAAGAACTGGAGGCCAATGAAAAATAACAATTATTTGGTTATGGGACACCAATGGAGTTGACAATACAGATACCTCTTGGGGAAAGGTTAGCCGCTGGAACTAAGCACTGTTGCCTAGTGTACGCCTGATTGTGGTAGTGAATATTTATTTTACAACACAAAGAATACTCTAAAAACAATCTTCAAAATGGCTCTATCTGAGTTTCAACTAACAACCCCGTGTGAGATGCAACTCTTGAAAATTTAAGTAGGGACAGCCACTATCATGTAACTGTGGGGACAGATCAAGCCATACAGTGAACAATTGACCTTTACAAGCATTACCATTTACTGGCATCATTTGTAAACAAAATTACACAAATTTCAAATTTGTTTTCTTTTTTGATCTTAGAACATATAAAATTAATCATACAAGGTTTTATTTTATCAAAAACTTGTTTGTTTGGATTTATTTCAATTTTACTTTGATCTACAAAGCCTTGTAACAAAAAAGAAAAATTCTCAAGTGCAATTGAAGCATTTGTAGCTTCGTATAGCCTACAGTAGTCCAATCAGCGTCAGCTAACAGCTGTCTCAGTCTATTTATTAATTGAGGCACAAAAACAACATGACAAAAAATATTTCTGTTTAAAGTGTAAAAATATTTTAAGATGGTTTATAAAATTAATATTTTAGTTTTACTGGTTGTGACGATGTAGTTTCATTAAAATGCAAAAACAAAGCATAACATTAGTAAAAAATACTTTCATTTAAAAAAGTTAAAACTGTTTTCAACACAACTTCTATATAGCTATTTCATGTTATTATTACTTTATAAAGATTTTAAAGGATTAATCTTTTTATAATTTTAAAGTTGGCCTAACCAAGTTTTTTGAAATATTTTAGATCTAGAAATATTTTAGAAATATTTTAGGCCTTTATATCATTAAATATTATGGGACATTCAAATATTTCCTTGTGTTTATTTTTTTTAATATCCTTCATTGTGCCTCTTTAAATGCAGATACGATACCTATTATGATAAAACATATTGTGATTTATTGAAATATAATCTGTAATCTCACATACTATCGTATCTGCAAAAACCGCCATTTTTACACACAAAAAAAATAACAAAAATGTATCCTCTAAACTACAGTCAAAAACAAATCTTAGTGAATGTTATGTGTGAACATGACAACAGTAAAATAAAATGTCTTTCAGCAATCAACCAGTGAATAAGTGCAAAATCCTTATTTTGGCTCTCCTGAAAAGTAGCAAAGAAGCAGATAGTATGGAAGATGGGCGACGATATGTTAATAAATAAAGTTTTATAAATGGTATTGGTATCGAGTTCGAAATCAAGAATCGGAACCAAAGTTCTGGAATCGGAATCAACCAATTCTGGAATCGGCCCATCACTACTTTGATTTTTAATCTATTACAAAAGATTGTCATAACTGCAAAAACTTGAAGCTGTCTTAAATTCAAATTTAAAACTATAACGTTGCAGATCTTATAACAGTCAATTGTAGTTTAAACAGATAAACTATATGCCATTAAAAGACTTACCTGTTCCTTTCAAGAAACTTGCGTCTCTTTGTTTCCTCATCATCCTCACTATTACTTGCATTTGAGGTTGAAGAAGATCTTTTGTGATGAGATCCTTCTTCTCTATGGCCTCTTTCAAATATCTAGAAAAATGTTGAGCATTGTTGAAATAATATTACCCCTCACAGTAAACTTGTTAATGCTGGTACAAATTTATATTCATAAGTTAGATTCCCATACACCAGAGTCGAGCTAATCAGAATGTTTTAATAATCCGAACTATATGTTAGGGAAAAAGGTAACTACGTTAACATTAAAAACAAAGCTATAAGTGTTCTGAAATACTAACTAGGGTGTCCAGCGGACCAGGAAATCAGTAAAACTGGGAATCATACCTGAATTTTGAGAAAGTCTGAGAATTGCGTGTGAATTTTTAATGGCACCGGGAAATTTATTGTATTGTATTGTATTGTAATTTGGGATAATTTCTAACAGCATATGGACGAACGCCCATTCATTAATGATGTTCTGGTGGTTGGTTCCCTTTTAAGACCGTCAAGTAGTAAGTAAGAGGAACTTGATGGCAGAAGACAATCACTGGGAATCACAGTTCACAAGAAACCATACAAAATTATGAAGTAGAAATATTAAAAAAAAATATATAACCCTACTGGATTTTTAGTTTATTGTTTACCTCAAAACTCACCTTTGGATCGTCCATATTTGGCCTTTCAGCCTGAATATTTGCACTCAAATTCCCCAAACGAGCTTTTAACTTCTGAAATAAAAATCATCTATTTTAATATTTTACCTCAATAAAGAAAAAAAAAACTTGTTACTGTACATACTTAATACCGTAATAACTAACACCATCAATATCATTTATAATTTGAGAATAGGCTCTTTCTAAAATTTGGTTTACTTTGACCTTCTACTGAAAATGAAACCTTTAGTTACAAATTTTCCACTTTTGTTAAAGATTAATTTTATTCTGACTCATAGCTCTAAAAATAAGTTGTGTGAAATAATAAAATCAATATATATATATATATATATATGTATAGTGAAGACATAAAATAATGCTTATGTATAAATAAAATAGCCTTAATAAAAAAAAAATAGAACAAGGTTTTATAAAGAAATAAAACCAGATAGTTTAACTAGTTTTAAAGGATCAGTTGCTGAAGGTCTAAATCCTGGAAGGTCTAATCAGACCTTCGGCAAACATTTTGCAATTTGGACTAGTAGCGGTTAGGTCTAAAATGAGAATTAGACCTTCCGCTACTAGTGCTAAATGCAATCTGTATGCCGAAGGTTTAAAAATGTGTACATTGCGTAGCCTGAGTTAAAAGGCTGTAACCGCATTTACCTGAGTTTAATTCGTTTTTTGAAAGCACGCACATTGTTCTAAGCCTAGTGAAGTTATGCAATTTTGGTGAAATGCAGTAGTATGAATGTTAATAAAGATACCTGGGCCCAATATATCTTTCACTAACCACTACTAAATCACAAACATTTCCTGTCATAGTTCAAACTCTATTGGATAGAAGATAACTACCTTGTCATATTGCACAATAACACCTTAGCTGCCTATCACAGCCAGCTTTTAAGTTATTTAATACATCTAATTAATACATAATGAGCATAGAAATAAGTATGTAAATGGACTTATAATAATTACAATGTGAACTCAACGTGAATTCAAATATTAATTGCATAAATTTGGAATATTGATCACCAGACCACGACCGAGTTGGTTTACTTAATAAATCACATAATTAATTACTAATTCATTGCCCTAGCCTACACCCTTCCCCAAGCCCTACTATACTATCTACTCACAACTACCTCCTACACACTAGACCTTCCGGGATTTAGACCTTTGGCATACTGCCCGTTTAGACCCTCAGCAACAAGTAAAAAATGCAAAATGTGAGCCGAAGGTCTAATTAGACCTTCCTAGATTTAGCCCTTCAGCAACACTCCCGTTTTAAAGAAGGTAAGATTGAGTTAACTTCTATATTAATTTAGCCCCGCCACAATAGGCAACAACCAAGTTAAATGTTCCACTGTTCTAAAAACTACTATTAACCATAACCACAATAAGAATTACAACGGACAACTAAAGCAATTTAAAATAGAGTGCACACAATTAAATTACCTCTTTTATGAGTGGAGATATATTATCTGACTCCTGCTTCTTCTCTGGGCTAGTGTGCAGAATGACAGTTCCTGCATCAGCTTTTGGTTGACTGACTCGTGCCTGAAAATAAGAGAATTTAATCGTTGAATGGTATTGAATAGGCCTTGTAGGACCTGTTTCGAAAACTTCACTACAAACATTTAATGCCTGAAGAACTAAAATTTAAGATCCTATTATATAACTCAGCATATATTTCAGCATAACTTTTTTGAATAACTAGTTGCTATTTTGGCAACTGGTTTATACCCACATGCAGTTTAGCTACCGAAAAAATTGCCATAGCCTGACATTAGAACAAATTTCTAAGAGCTGTGTTCAAAGAAATTTGAAGTTAATTTTTGGGTTCCATAATTGTGAAAGGAAGATTGTTTCAGCGTTTATTGTTATATATTTTATATTTTGGAAGCCGTGACACTGACTTATGCCATTGGAGGTCGTGGCATTTGGACGTTGAGCAACACTCCCAAATTATCTAGCTGATTTAGGCCTATATTAACAGAGGTTGGCCAAAACTGTATACAAACCAGTTTTAGCGAATTTCCCTATAGGGAAGTAGCTATTACTGTAGGTGGCATGGTAAGACCTAGGCCTGGGACCGATTTACTTATTCATTATGATGTCCCCAGAGGCCAAAAACACAATTTGTTCAAATTTGTATATACAGTAGGACCTCAATATCTCAAATCTGAAGGGGTTGTGATAAAAATTTGAGTTATCAAGTCTTTCAAGTTAGCGAGGTTCGAGTTATGAAGGTTCCATATGAAAAATTTCGAGATACTGAGGTGTTGGGGTCTGACAGTGATGTTACGTCACCGCCTTTAGAACCAGACTTTCACGTGTTAATCCTTTATAAATCAAACTCAAACTGTATTTATACGTACGGAAGAGTAACTTTGGAAGCAAAATAAAACAATTTTAATGCACATAAAGTACTGTATTTATTATTTAGCAATAAGTTAGATAAAGTACATACAAAACATGCTAAATAAAAAATAAAAAAATAGTTTAAATACTGTATAAATACAAAATACAAAACAATAATACAGTATACAGTATATCATCCATACACGGAACTACATTTACTGTGTATAATGTCTGTTTAAAGCAAACGTTAGTCAAACTCTTTATATATACTGTAAAAACAAGCTACTGTAACAACAAAAATACTGAATACGTACAATACTGCACAAACAAAAAGTATGTAGAAAGTAACATTTAAAGGGAAAATACAGTACTGAACTAGTGTGATTAAAATACTAAACAAAATGCAACGTAAAAACTATCTCAACAGCTGGCAGACTACACTGACTTCAGTACCTAACCTAGCCAAACAGACAAGGGAAGCAAACACAGGAAGTTGAATTTTCACGTCTCGACAGGAATCAAAACACAACTGACTTTGAAAGGCAAAACTTTTAATTATTGAGGCACATTCGTGCGAACTTTGACTTATAAAGGTAAACTTCGAGTTACTGAGGCATGTTGTAGTTTTAAAAATGTAACTCAGTTGAGTATATTTGCACTAAAACGTTTATGTGGCAAATTAGAACGGTCTTCTCTCATACAGGCATACTATGGTGTAAATATATGTTTGAAGTGTCATTAGACATATTGTTATTTACTTCCCGTAAATATAAATTACACAAACATGTTTATTATAATTTTTTTGTAAATTTTCTACATAAAACCTAGTTAAAACATTAAAAATGTTATGGGACCATTAATAATTGTTATTCAAACAAAACCTATTCTACAGATCATAGAGCATACTTTTTAGAAAGAAAAAGTTATCAATTATCTTTTATGGGTTTATGGCTAGAACTACCTATATTTTTGTGACAACATTGTATTTCTTAAAGAAATTAAAAATAAAGAGAATTGCCTATTAGTTTAACTATTACTTACAACAAGATCCACTGGACCTTGAAGATCTACTTTTTTGTCAGAGTCAACCGGAGTGGCGTTAAGTTGCATCAGTCTACCATCGGGCATTTTCAGAAGGAGTTGAACAGGTTGGTACCCACTGGTTCCGGGTTTGCTAAATCAAACAGAACAATAAAATAGTACTACTAAATAGGTCTAAAAACACTCTTACACTATAATCTGCCTCAAATTGAGCCATAATAATGGTAACCATTTTACAGTAAAAACACTACATTTCCTTTGGGCTTTTATTTGATATACCCAGGTACATGATTAAGTAAAGTCTCAATTATCTGATCCAAGCTGGCTGCGGTGAAGTCATCACTGAAAGAAAATAACTTAATAGGTTTTAAACATTTCAAAAATGATTAAATTAACAAAGTTAAACTCTGTTCAAACCTATTCAAGAATTAAGTTGTTTAAACTTTTTTCTTTTGAAACCATCATCACAAAAAACATTAAAAATACCTAACCGTAAAGTAAAAACAACACAACTGTAACTGCAAAAAAAGATACAATAGTCGTCCCTTCAGAGAAAGGTCTCCTATCACACTGAGTCTTAAGACGTAAGGGGTAGCAGACAGGTATGTATAAGGAGTTAACGAACCTTGTGTCATGCAGCCTGCTAAAACAATCAGAAAATACAGCCCAAGTGCAGGAGGCTAAAACTCTTGGTACTAAAAATCTTTTGAATATAGACGGGTACAACAAAAGGGGTTGTCTTGATAAACCTGCTATGGTGTGATGTACAGTCAGACGACAAGTAATTAGCAAAGGATTTCTTACTTTGTGGTCTGCAAGAAAGGGGAAACTTGGAAGGTCTGATAACCGAAGATTGTATAATCGAGAGCCTACTGTACACTCCAGTAATTTTCATAGAAAAGTTGTGTTGTGTTTATTGCAATGAAATGTCTCATATCTTGATTCACCATAATCTTCATTGTTGCAGAAATGTCCATGATGAAGAGCAGTCAAGAAACATCATAATGAATAAGGTCCCAGTTATGATAAGAGGAACCAGCAGTAAGTGGCGATGCTGACATTAATATTAGTGTGGAACAATACGGTAGCGCCTGACTCCGGCCATGATTGACGTCAGCAGGGACGTGGACCGCTGCCCATCACCAACCCCAGAGATTGAATTTTTGTGTTGCCACAGATATCCCTCCACATTCTGTCATTTAGCTCAAACTGTGTTGGATGTACCAGCTTACTGTGAAATGTAGAGAGGCAAATAGGCCAAGTTTGTGAGAAAGTTAATTGATGTGGAAACTGAAGTACAAACCAAACCTGTCTTTGCATTTGTTAATAGGATGAACGCTTTGTTTTAGTCTTAGACAATCCACCTAAACCCAGCTTCTCAATTTAGTATTTTCACTTAACTAACTTTGTTGCTGAACCAATTAGCTTGGTGGTGTAATTCATGGCCAGGCCCATGTTCTTGCACAGGCCCATGTTCTTGCATAGGCCCATGTTCTTGCATAGGCCCATGTTCTTGCATCACCGTTTTGGCACAATGGCCGCGCTCTTATCATAATTGGGGCTTGAGAAATATGAATGTCATACCTGTTAGAGGACGGAGCTATTGGTCGGAGCTGAGAAGTATCGGCCTCTTGCCTTATCACCTTGACTGGAGGTGTAGGTTTGTATCCACATTCCCTCTCTGCTCCATTTACTGTGGACAGCACATGCTTTCCAGTGTTTTCAAATTCACAATAAGAGTTATAAATTACTAATTTTCCTTGGGACAAAAGTTTATCATGCAAATACATTCTGAAATTCTAAAATAAAAATGGATTTGATAACTTTTCAATAGAATTTCTTATCAGTGTTAAATATGGTCACGATTAACAGCCGGTACCTATCAGCACTTTTGACGGACATTCACCATTTATTTTAATCTAGAATTGTAGGCTAATAAAAATGTACATCCAAACAAATTTACAAGAAATTCTATACAAGCAAATATACAACTTTAAATGGACTTCTAGATTTGTATGAAAACCAAACAAATTACAAAAAAAAATCAACAATAGGTTCATAGTCAAGGTGATAATCCATTTAAACCAGATCTTTTTGAACTAAGAAGGTCTCCAATTTAAACCATAAATTATCAGCATTTTTGAGATTATCAAAATGAGATTTTCAAAATCTAGTATAACACTAGAAAAAAAACGTTGTATAGTCTACCACATGTACCCAGGAAATTTATTTTTACCGAAAAAAGTAATAACCCTAACGCACTAAACCTGTAGAGTAAGGCCCGGTTCAAAAGAGCGACAAATCTAACAAGTGGGCTGTGACTAGAATTGTCGTGGCCTGGAGACATACCAGTTCACTAAAGCGATAACTCAACCGACTAGATCACAGGCGAATGAGCATCGATAACCGATCTTATTGATAAATTGATTGCAAGTGACCAATGTTTTTGTTGCAATTATTTTTTTAGACAATTACAATGTTTTATTTTGTTTTTTTGTATTGTTGGACTCATATAATACAATTTACCAAAAGGTTCTGTGCAATTTAGAAAGTTGTTAATTTCCTTGTAATCAATAACACTATTTTAAAACTAATAATATCTAATGGAAACTATACAAAACTTTGATGATGTATAAAAAAATGTATTAATAACAGTATTATTTTATCAAACCATAATGGTTATTTTTATTGCTTCCGTATTTGTACCAGTTTATAAGAGCAACAGTTTTGACAAAATCTAGCTACATCGTTGTAACTGGCATTTGAGTTGAGCTCGGCAAAGGAACTTGAAGTTAAATAAACAAAAACTCAAACTGCGAGAAAAAGAATTAGCCTATATGGGTCATGTAGTAACGCAAAACGGTCTTAAACCAGACAATACCAAAATTTTAGCCATTCAGAAGATACCTCAACCTACAAATGTGACCGAACTACAGAGATTTCTTGGACTTGTAACCTATCTGGCTAAGTTTGTCCCTACATTATTCGATCGGTGCGAAGTCTTACGACAACTGACACAAACAGACCCATATGAAACCCTTCGAGAATCTCAAAACTATGCAGTCATAAGCTCCGGTTTACCAATATTATGACATCACTAAACCGGTAACGCTACAATGTGACGCCAGTGACACAGGTCTCGGATGTGCTTTAATCCAATTAGGCCAACCAGTGGCCTATGCATCTAGAACAATGAGCCAAACAGAGAGACGCTACGCTTAAATAGAAAAAGAATGCCTGAGCATCCTATTCGCTTGCACGTCAATATACAGGGTAGCTGAAAAGTAACTTGCACCCCCCCTTAACTTTTCAACCATTAGAGATATTTGAAATCTGTTTGCGGCAACCTTCTTAGATATGAGGGGCTACAATAATTATGGTCAATTTTGAAAATTTTGCCTTTAGGGGTAGCGGGGGTAGGGGGTAGCTCAAAATTTTCAAATGACAAGTATAGTCGAGTTTGGTATCATTTTACAGGTCTTGACAAAACATAAACATTGACATAAAGAAAACCAAAATTGGCTCACTAATAACAAAATGGTGCCCTAAAACGTTTCAAATCCAAATAACCATGAGAGTGGCAAAAAAAATTAACTTGTACCCTCTTTAAATTTTTAACCCTTTAAGATATTTTAAATCGGTTTGCGGCAACTTGTTTGGATATAAAGGGCTGCAATAATTATGGTTAGTTTTGGAAATTTTGCGCTTAGAGGTAGGGGGTAGCTCAAAATGTTCAAAACTGACAATAATTATTGTAGCCCTTCATATCCAAACAAGTTGCCGCAAACCGATTTCAAATATCTGAAATTGTTAAAAAGTTAAAGAGGGTAAAAGTTAATTTTTTTGCCACCCTCATGGTTATTTGGATTTGAAACGTTTTAGGGCACCATTTTGTTATTAGTGAGCCGATTTTGGTTTTCTTTATGTCAATGTTTACGTTTCGTCAAGACCTGTAAAATGATACCAAACTCGACTATACTTGTCATTTGAAAATTTTGAGCTACCCCCTACCCCCGCTACCCCTAAGGGCAAAATTATCAAAATTGACCATAATTATTGTAGCCCCTCATATCTAAGAAGGTTGCCACAAACCGATTTCAAATATCTCAAATGGTTGAAAAGTTAAGGAGGGTGCAAGTTACTTTTCAGCCACCCTGTATATGTGGCAAAGAAGACATAATAGTGGAGACAGATTACCAGCCTATGCTGAATATCTTCAAAAAGTCCGTTCTGTCAGCACCCAAGCGATTACAATGTATGATGCTTTAACTACAAAAGTACAACGTTGACCTCGTTTACAAGAAAGGAAGCAAGATGTATATAGCAGACACCCTATCATGAGCTGCGCAAAAAATGACGAGAAATTATGGAAAGGACTTAGAATCATGGCAAGTACACCAAATACAAGAGGAGGAAAATATGTTCAACAGATAGGAAGAAATGTCATCCACGGAGCATTTAAATGTCACCAAAGATCGACTTGATCAGATAAAGAAGCACACCAACCAGGACAAAGAGCTTGTTGTAATGAAAAAAATCATACAAGATGGATGACCATTGGCAAAAGACTCCCTTTCAAATGAAGTGAAACAATATTGGACATACAGAGATGAAATTAGTACCTATTCAAGATGGACTCATTTTTAGGGGTGAACGCTTAGTAGTGCCAAAATCCCTACGAAGAGAGATGTTAAACAGAATACACTCGAGTCATCAAAGCATTGATGCCAGTCTCAGAAAGGCAAGGCTTAAATTATTTTGGCCACATATGTCGGAGGACATTTAAATTGACAGTTCAAGAGTGTTCGGCCTTTTGGAATTATCACCTGCTCCTGCTCATTTACCTATGCAGACCCATAGAATCCCTGATCTACCGTGGAAGAGAGTAGCGCTTGACATATTTCACCACAAAAATGACAATTATCTAGTCACAGTAGACTATTACTCAGATTTCTTTGAATTGGACAAACTACCTGATCTGACATCAGCCACTACGGTAGAAATCGCAAAGAAAAACTTCAGTCGTCACGGCTGCCCCTTAACAGTGGTGACTGACAATTCACAAGCTCAGTTTCAAACAGCTAACTTTCACAGATTTGCAAAAGAATGGGAGTTTAATCACGTCACATCGTCGCCATATCACCCGAGAGGTGGCAAGACTGAATCAGCTGTAAAGATAGCAAAATACTTAATTAAGAAAACTGAAAGAAATTCAGAAGATCTATGGATGGCTTTATTAGAGTGGCGCCGCAACACTCCTACTGAAGGAATCAACTCAAGTCCCGTTCAACGCTTGATGTCTCATCGCACAAGAACGCTCATACCAGTAGTGAAGAACTTGTTAGTACCAAGGACAGAGAGCTCAGTCTAAGACCAACTTAGCCTAAAGAAGATAAAATATACGATAGAACTTCCAAGATATTGCCTGATTTAGGCATAGATCAAGAAGTTTACGTGAAGCAATCGACAAAATGTGATCCCAAGTGGTCTCTAGGAAAGATAGTTGAGAAGAAATCACCAAGGTCGTACGTGGTAGATGTTAGTGGAAAGTTGTATAGAAGAAACAGAGAATTCTTAAACACACCAAAGGCAGACCTAACACACAATGAACCTGACCGAGTCGTAGACGACAACATCAAGTTGACAGTCCCACTAGGAAATCAGCTCCAATCGTAGACAACACTTTAAATGACCATCAAGATCTGGGACCACTCGATATGGAAACAAATACACCTAACAGACGAGTGACACATTCTGGACGTCACGTCAAGACCCCAGAACGATACAAATACTAAGCAAGATATGTAATACAGGCCTACGAAGATATTTTTATTTTTTAAGTTTATTCTGGTTTTTATGAAGACACATTCTGTAGGCCTGTAAGAGATGTATTTTATTATGTATGAGAAGATTTTTTTATTTTGTTTTCTGTGTGAAGGAAGAGTTTTGTGTTGATTTGTGAAAGAAGAAATTGGTTATGACAGCATTTACTTTACATTTTACAACAAAACAAAAATCTTACCAGGAGTCTCAAGTTTATTTCATGAAAGGAGGGATGTTATACATGATATGAACTGGCCACATATTACCAAAAGCCCAATAGCCTATCAGTACCAACTGTCGTCAACTGAGGATTCAACTGAGGACAGCAGTAGCAGTATTATTCTGACAGCTGAGTAACAGTTCCTGGATTCTTAAAAAAATAAATGAACCTATCAAAATTCAAGAAAATTCTAAAAGAGCATATAATAAATATAGCATTATATTCTTATGATGAGTTTTTCACCTCCCAGAATTAGAAATAGTATTTTTATTTTATGTATTTTGACACTATTCACTGTACCACCAGTGTACACGATTTATGGTGAATAAAGATGTTTGAATATGAATATGAATATACTAAATTAGTGTTATTTTTAGCTCAAGAAAATGGTTTAGAAAGAAATTGCCAGGTTATATGTTTTGAGGGTAAAGAATGGGAAAAAACCCATTTTACACGATAGTACCTCCCATAAGCCCTGTTTCCATAGTCTGATCACGTTGATTTGCAAACTCATTTGAATAGAGTAGGTTTACACGATTGAACGAAATTTCATCAAAATTGGATAGTTTTAACTTGAGTTATCGTGCTAACCTACACACACATAGATTCCTATATGAATATGAATTAATGTGTTTTTGGCCTCTGAGTACTGTACCTCAAAACAAAAAAGTGAATCGATAAAAAAAGTAAAAAGTTCTGCGTCAAGGTCTTCCTTACCATGACACCTGCAGTAATAGATTGTTCCCTAGAATGGGAATTCAATAAAATGAACCTTTAGATATTTTAACACCCAGTAGCTTAATATAATATGAAAATAAACCCAATTGAAACATTGTCTGTATTATGAGTCTATAATAAATTCTCAAAAAGTACTCATAACTAGAATAAGCAAATGAATCGATCTTTGAACTAAATGTGTCCAATAGGCTTTATATGGAAAACTTACCTGTTTTGTTCTGCACTGGCTGTTTTTGGGTGGACTCTATTCGGTTTATAGATTCATTTTCTATGATGTGTGGAAATACATGGGGTGTGTGTAATGTGTCGTCTGTAACAGCTGCCATTCTCGTTTCCTGAAAAATTATTTGACAGGAATTTAATATTTGTGTGTATGAACAATCACACTGAATGATTTACTGTCCAGACATGAATTAACAATAGCATAAATATATAAATTTAAGAGGATTTGTATGAAGTAGTTTTTTGTCACAAAATCAACAATTGAATTTATAAAGTATAATAATACTTTAAAATATTGTATGAAGCATAATAATATTTTGGCTAGTTATAAGTAGCCTACAACAGATACTACCAGTATAAAGAAAACCAAAATATACAATTTAATGAACAAACGTAAATAATGAATCTTTAGTGATCTTATATACACAATTACGACTATATTATAGGCCTAACAATGAATTAGGTAAATTGGTTGGCACTCGGATAATGTAACTGGTTGGGTTTTTTTTATGAGATAAATTAACTTGTCTTCCAAACGTTGAAGAAAATGTGGTAGACCTAACATTAAAATTAATCGTTTAAATACCTACTAGAAATGTATAGATATTGTTATTACGATCATTCTCTAATTATAGTCACAACATATTGTTCCACAGATTAAAAACTTCATAATGTTACTAATACTCTTGGGTTTTTATACAAAAATTTACATGCAAGTAAATTGTAAAAATTGTCTATTGACCAACCTGTAAAGCCAAACTGCCTGTTTTTCCTGACTCAACTGCCTTTCTAAATGTCTCTTCAAACGGATTGACATTCTGCAAGTCTTGAAAAAGGCCGACTTCTTCACAATTACGGATGAATCGGGTAGGTGTTGGAGTTTGGTCGGCTGAACCAAAATAAAAATCGAGTCAACAATGTAAATGGGTTTCTAAAATATTAATATTATAGTACATAGTTGTGTGATTATCTATTTTCTGGATCTCTACAAGTAGCAAAATGACATACCTACGACATGTGGTTATGAGATATTTAACAAACTCTTTGATCAATAAACATAAGCATTTGGTTCAGTATACAGTGTAACCTAGAACACACACAACACCAAGTTAAGTAGTTTTTGGTTATTGTTGTATTTAGCAATTTGCATGTAAAAAACAACTGTATCAATAAACTGCCCATATCAAAATTTGTGTGTAATATCACAGGCACTTTACATATGACAAATCATCTACAAATAAACAGAATTGTTTATCAGGCCCTGAAATATTATTAATTATTCAGTCTTGCTCTTAGCATACGGAGTAAAAATTAGCATAATGAAGAATTAAACTCATAATCATCATAATGAGCAAATCTTGTTTTAAACATGAATGAGAATTCAATTCGCAATTTTGATGATGAGCAAATCTTAATAGCCGACACCGCTCATGTAAATATGACTTAAGTTAACTGTCATATGATAAAATTATAAGACACAACATAACATAACATTAACATAACATAAGACATTTAACATTTTATAAGATTTACCTAACCCCATTTAAATCCAACAGTAGGTTTGGAGAATTCAATTTTTCACTCTTGAATTTGTATTATGCTCAATGCTAGGACTTTTATCATTTTTGCACAGAATAATAAAGTAGAACAACATTTCAGATTGATAGGTCTATATAAATATTGAATTCCCTTCTTTGTAAAGCAGTGAATTTGAATTTCTTCCATGACTCTAGTCCGTTGTTTGTTCATCACTTGAACTTTGCTATGAACTTCCATGCAATATTCTTCTTCAAACAAGGTTCTATGAACCCAAACAGATGAAATTAAAAACAGTAGATCTTGCACATACAAGACAAAAAATAAATTTTCCTAATACCTTATTGAAGCCCACTGTGCTTTTCCCACAAACCTAATTATTCATAGGCCCTTTATTGATAGGCAACCTGGATTTTTTCTACAACTATGGTGAGTGTTCCCCGCTTTGGAAAATTTACAACTACACCACTGGCGCAAAGCTAAAGCTTAATTTAATATACAGGGTGTTTTTAAAAGAATGCCGGGATTTTAAATGGTAATTGCTTGGATACTATTCAAGGTAACTAAGCGTTTTATACGTCAAATTGAAGCTAAAATAAGAAAGTTTTGTTTTCCGTGCAGCAAGGGAGGAAACTTTGACCTTGGTATGCGTAAAACAGTTTCGGCGTGATAGGCCGCTATTGTGACTCATATGCCAGTCGCCAGTATGCCATTTACGGTGCAAGGCACAGATTGTAATCTGTAGTTCGCAGTGTTTATATCCATTGCTAAAATTAAAAAAAATTAAATCTACTTGATGATAAAGAAAATTGAAGCTGGTTTAATGAGTTTCGTCGCACCTAAGTGTTTTGAAAAGACATTCACCTAGCCGGCTAAAAACAAACGATGACATAGTCGAAGAAATCCGACAAGTCTTCATCAGAAGCCCGAAAAAATCGATTGCCCGACAAAGTCTTCAGTTTAACAAACCTAAATTGGTCACTTTATGATGTTATCTATAAAAGATAGTCTTTGTACCGAAAAAGATTCAGTTAAGACATTAGATTAACATGCCCATCGCTCTAAGCGTACAGACTTTGCCAGTTTTACGCTCATATAAGATGATGAAAATCTGAATTTTACTAATCCGAATTGTAGATGAATGATTGCATAAAATACAGGTATTTAAACCACTTATATTGTATATAATTATAATTATATTGGTATAATGAGGTCCCTATTTTTACCCCATAAACCCCCGTTCCCATAGTCCGATCATGCTGGTTCGCGAACTCGTTTGAATAAATGAAAGTTTACACATTTGTACCCAATTTCATCAAAATCGGATCATTTTTGCTCGAGTTATCGTGCTAACGGACAAATATATATATATATATTAAACGGATTGTTTTTTTGGCCTCTAGGGACCTCAAAATGAAAAAGTAAAATGGTCCCGGGTCCAGGTCTTACCATGAGTACTACGGTAATAGCTTAATCCCTATATGGGAAATTCGCTAAAAATAAAAAGAAAGCTAATTTTGTCCTCTACGACCCACTGGCCCAACATCAAGAAATATGCAGTCTAAGTGGGGGGGGGGGGGGGGGGGGGGTGTACTGTAGACTTACCTCAGATCAAGGGGAAAGTGTAATTCTAAAAAAAAAAAACATATTTTTAACAAAATAAAAAAACTACATGTACAAAACGTTTCAAAGAATAAACTAAGCAAATTTGATGTTTATAGAACCTACTTGTGTCTTTTAATCTGTGGTCAAAGTCGTACTATGTGAGTTGGGGCATTTACATTTACCCCACTTGACCTTACTGAAAATACAGGTAAAAGGGAACGTTCTGCAACGGTAGATGTAGTGCACTGCCGGTTCAGGTGATGTTCGTAGTTCTTTGTGTATAATTGTTTGACTAAATAGCATTTTAAAGTCCTGGCGATATGATTATGGCTTGACAGAAGCCAAAACCCGGTTGATCCAAGCTACAAGGAGGAGTCAGAGCTGTGACAGAAAATTTGTTAATCTACAGTAACCTATAAAATAACCTATGCCTCCTTAAAAAAACTCACCACCAAAAATACTAGAGCTCCTATTTCCAAGATTGAGAACCATGCTGTGCTTCTTTTTAGGTGGACTACTCATGTATTCCTTGGTTGAACATGCCTGCAAAAAATATGAAACATGAAAAGAAATGTTAATAAATGGGATATATAATATATATATATATACCTTAGAAAAGTTGACATACCTAGCCCAACAACTCAAGCTACAACCGCCTATACACTTACACAGCTATCTATGCGAGTATTACTCAGATAAAACCGCTATAGGCTACCTGACGTGTGGTTCAACCTGGGGGTTAAGTTTCGAGCTACTAAGTCTAATGCTTATGCTCTCCTTTCACTTCACATGTACCGTACCAGTATATACCAACATATAATACACAAACAGTATTTATACCTATGCTACCACTAAATAAAAAAAATACCTAGGCCCTAAGCTTATTCAATTCAATTTAATTATTGAGATGGGGATGCTAATAATAATAATAATTCGTTTCTTGTACCGTAGTCTACAAAGTACATTGTATTACAAACGTCAGATAGAATTCGATGCTACCTAGAAATACTATTATAACCCATAAGTGGAGGATGAGTATAGAATGGAGTGAGATGATCTGTGTAGCTTTGTTACCGATTGAGGGCTGGAGCGCACTAGCCCAACCACGACCACAACTCCAACCGGTCGGATACGGCCAGTTTTTTAATAGGCGTAAATGGAACAGTCTCCATTAGTCGACTGGTTGGACCCTGGTTGCATGACCAAAGTCCTTGCAGACGTGCCCGACCCGCTGGCTGTTGCAGCCAAAAATAGAACAAATTGTAATGGGACGACGTACACTACCCCCGACTTGTCTCTGACCTAACCAGTACACCACTCAACCCCTAGTATTTGTGTGGATCTATGGCACATGTTTTTGTGTGGTTTGGGAAGTGACTTTTTTTGTAAAATGTGGCAGGATTTTGTCACTGAGAGTTTTGTTATGACTGTTAAGAAAAAGTCTTGTTTTTAGGATCTATCAGCAGTAGCCTACCAGTAACTTAGATTATGAACAACAGAGGGATGAAGAAGGAAGCTTTGGAGGAGATCATGCTGATGTTTAGCGGACGTGAGAACGTTACTAATTCGGCCACTTCTTCAACATCCATCTTGACACTGATGTTAAGTAAACATTCGTTGCCTTGGTCAGGTTGTGCTCTGGTCGCATGGTGAACGACAATGACCGGTTGGGTGTTTGGTCATGGTCGTGGTCGGGCTAGTGCGCGCCAGCCCAAGACCAGCTATTTCATTAGTCAGGACCATTTATTAAAAGCCAAATGATCAGGTACAGTTGGGTCTAGTATAGGACCATCGAAAAGTTAGGCCTACACCTTTTTCTCAGAATCGAACCAGCGATTTTATGATTGCTAGGCGAGAGCTATAGGCTAACCAAAATGACACACACTAAGCAGCAATTAGGCCCTACGTAAGAACAAAAATAGCCATAGCCGTGTGTGAGCTTCTCAAAATAGGTAGGTTTACCTACACAACCTATCCGGCATTGCTGGTCTTGGTGAAGAAGAAGGTAATAAGGTAATATCTACCATCAACAAGCTGAAGTCAATTTCAAAATAATTTGGTGATCTAGCCTATTTAAGTTGGTTCAATTAAATACAAAATTCTTAAACCACATAGTGGGCAAACCTAATTAAATTAATTTAGATTCAGATTTAGGTCTGATTACTTCAGGCTATGGGCCTAATGGCCTAAAATTTTGGATTTTCGGTACGCAGTGAGTAGGCCTACGTTACTGTACGTCTATGTGAATTATTGATTGCTCAGAGCATGTTTGGGCTAAATTTTGAAGACCAAAATCATGGATCAACTATTCAACTGTGGAAAATCTAGTTACAATCCAGACTTAGCAAAAAGGTATGAAATTTATGCTTAGCCTAGTAGGTGCATAAGCATAAAATGGAACTAGCCTCTTAGCCACCTTGAAAATATGCTTTTAAAGTGGTAGTTAGTAGTGGATGAAGGTAAAAAATAATGCAATAGGCTAACTAACTGGGTGCTCTTGGAATTATAGCCGTTTATCTTAATATAAGAAATACAAACAATCCTACCAAAGGGTAATCGTGGGTTGAGTATGACCTAGAAGATCCTTCCATTGCAGTTATCATCCAACATTCAAAGCAAAACTATTGTTTCTTAATCATATGTTCCGTGGGATTGAAAATACACTCATGTAAATGACTGCGTTATTATTTCAAAACACCATTACAAACTTTAACTTAATCATCCACAGGTAACAACAAACATAGCTTCCTTAATACTTTTCAAGGCCAAACAATTGCCAATGTTATAAAGTCAAGGATTTCCGATTTCGTATCATAGCATATAATTTACATACGTTATAAAACTAGGGATTTTTACTGTAAAGGGTTCATGTGTATATTTGTATTTATAGTTAGAAATTATAGACAAAAAAATAAAGATTTTCCTTTCGATATCCTCGTAACTAAACATAACCTAAACTAACACCAAAACAGTGTTTCCATCCGCAAGAAAAAAATATCCCTGGGCCAACGTCAAAAAATCCCTAGTTATCCCTAGTCCGTGTTCTAATAATCCCTCCAATTATCCCTCTCCATCAAATCTAGATAACTTATTATTTTTGCAGCAATACCAATGGATATCATGTATAGCCACCTAAAATATGGTATATTCTTCAATATCCCATATTATTTATAAAGTAATACTATATAAAAAACATTTTTGCACCATGGCCATCTTTAACTCCAGGCAGGCCGCAGCCTGGTAGAATTGGCAACGTTGCAAGTACCGTAGTATTGTTTAGCGCCAGACGTCCCATAAGTTAACATGGAAATAAAACATAATATAGAATCGAAAACCAAAACAATATAAATTGAAAATCTATTTCTGGACATTCAATGTGGAGTCAACATTTTCATAGCTCAGTAACCAAGCTTTCGTATTCTTAAAAAAATACATAAATATCATTAGCTTAGCCCGTTCTCCAAACAAACACCTTTTACAACACACTATGTAGCCGTGATTAAAAACTGTCTATGTGGTACAAAACAAGATTAATTAACTAAAAAATGACACAAATAGTTATTTTTAAAATTTTATATATATATTTTTATTTATAAGTATTTACAATTGTTTCAAAAATATTACTCAAGTGTCCAAATTTCAAACTTAGGCCCCTATTACACTAGGTAGCCTGGCGACGTCGCCAGCGGCAGTAGCTGGCGACGCACTGGCCACCAAACCTATAACCAGTTGAGTAGCCAGTTGAGTAGCCAGAATTTTACCGCCGTGGCGCCGTTGTTGTGAGTGCTTGTCTTGCACTTGTACTTGTTATGAGCGGTGTTTACAGTGAATAATGAGTGATTATAAGTATCTCCTCCTTCTGTTACTTCTGAAGAAAAGGAGGCAAAGGAAGAGAAAAATGTACGTTCATCCAATGCTTAGTGCAAGAGAATCAAAATGGTTATATTACACCCTTTTTTATGAGCTCTGTGCGGACAATAAAAAATGTTTCAATTATTTTCGTATGTCACAATCCAGTTTCTTCGAGTCATAAAGGATGATATAGACATTTTATCAACTGAAGTGAACAATTCACACACTCACAACACAACAGAACGCAACACAACAGTGTTCAAGTACCCCCGTGATATGAACTAACCGAGTGGCGACGTGATACTGGCGACCTAGTGTAATAAGCTCCATATGCTACAACGCAGCGTCGCCAATATGGGTAGCCAGTGGCTACCACAGTGGCGACGGGGCTCGGTAGCCAGTCGGTCGCCAAAGTGTGGCTGCGTCGCTGGCTACCCTCGTGTAATAACATCCATAAGAATCAATGCCCCATGACAAGCTGAGTAGCCAGTTTGGTCGCTGGCGACGTCGCCAGGCTACCTAGTGTAATAGGGGCCTTAGTCTTTTTCAAACATGGCCACCATGCCTTGGTGAAAAGGTTACACCAAGTCACTTACTAACCAAAAAGCATCACAGAAATCACCGGCAAACAAAGTCAAACGAAAACAAACATTCGACTTCGACATTGACACAGGGTACAGGGCTAAGGAGTATGTTTTATCTAAGGCTATACTAAGAAACAAATACAGTAATCTAGATCCGCCGACCAACTCCAGTCCTTCGCTTGTTTCGTGCAGTGTTGGCTGTTACTCTTCCCCTTGTGTGTTCCGACTTTGAAACACTACGTCACTACCACTACCTACAACCATAGATAAAACATACTCCTTGAGGAGTATCTTTTATCTATGCTACAATCGATTTGTTACCAAAACCTAGGGAAAAAGTAGTACAGTATAATCAATGTGTTATCAATTCCTTGCAAAATTAGCCAAAATAGGTCCTTAACGTTGTTGAAATACAGCCATAATGTATTATTTTATCAATATTTCAATTTTATAATGTCAAAGGCCTGAAATCCCTAGAAAATCTAAAAAATCCTCCAATTTTGCTGATTATCCCTAGTTATCCCTCAATCCCTTTTCAATCCCTCGAAGGCCCTAAATATCCCTAGAAAGGGATTTTTATCCCTCAAATGGAAACACTGCACCAAAAACCAAAATAAATTAAAAATACATTTGGATTTGACTTTTCAAATAAACTGAGAACTAAACTCAAGAAGGCCGTGGCAGACGACGGAAAAATACATAGAGTTTAATCACGAATACAATCTGTATTATGTGTACAGTATATGCCGAGGATGGGTGTAATTATTGTGTAAACCGACTACTGTATTGCATTTTTAAGAGTCATTGATGATCGCAATATAACTCAGAGGCAGTTTAGGATGGAATACTGCAGTAAATGTCTCCCAAATAAACACAACCTTGTTTATTACGTGAAAACAACTTCATACAATCACGTATTAAAGATGACTCATTTCTCAAATAAGTATGATTTCATAGATGCATATGAATTTAACACGCCATCACTAAAATTATTTTTAAAAATAGCAAAATTTTGTAACTATCAAATTCATTTAGTACATGTGTCTTGGAAAACAAGCTTACTCTTTGCTTCAAATTGATTTAAATTTTCACCCTTCCACCCTTCGTGGTGGCAAATGCTGGATCATGCGCAGTTCGAGTTTGACACTTTGATTATTACTGCATTATTGAGAGGAGGGGGTTGTACAGCATTGCAGGGTGCTCTTATTCTATGGTCGGGGAAGTCGGTGATTGCTAACTTGCAGAGATTATTTGGGCAACCTTATAATAATTAATAGAATTGTGTGTGATATAATTTAGGCATATAGTTTTGAAAAGCTATATTTTAGACTTGTTTTGTATTCAAAAATACTAGAGACTGAAATGGATCAATAACTTACCTGCACTAGGGTAAATATAATTTTCTGTCTTTTTACCTATATATTGGATTAAATCTAATATATTGGATTCTCTTCTAATACTGTAATAAAAGAAAATGCCACTGCACAAATAACAGGTAAGTTCACCAATTAATAGAAGTATTAATATAAAAAGTTGAGATATACTAGCCTTATTAATCAAGCTACAACATTGTATAATTTGTTATAAAACTTTGTGGCAATAATTATCTAGATTATGAATATATTATTATTAGTATATGCTGCATGGTGACTACAGAAAAGTGACATGGGAGCCATAGAATTCTGAAATATTTTAAGAGTCTTCAACTAGCTAAGTACCTATATACCGGTACTAATTTTTCTTATTTATAGTTGGGACTTTTAATTTTAATTAAAATTCCATCCCTGAAATTTTAACTGTAAATAAAAATCATAATGACCTATAACTGTAATTATACAGTTATAGGTACCCTCAAACCCCTAGAGGGTTGTAGGTAACCCTCAAACTATTGAGGGTTGTGAAAATATTCAAATGTGTAAAGGTAAAGGTATAGGTATTGGTCAAGGTACTAAAATGATAAAGTTAGTAAATATAATTTAGAGTCAGGTTACATTCTTGTACAGTATCGGTATCTCAGAATAGGGCAGGGACTAAAATGAATTATTATATTGATAACCTCATAACATGTTATTTATCTGCATTGTTTATAAATTTATGATTACGTTCCACAGCTTCTATAGTCATCCGCAAAAAACGTAGTAGATGTTAACACTTTATCTTTAAAGTTAAAATTATGATAACAAAACCCTTTTTACCTCCTTTGAAATATAGCAGTAAATATTAGAAAGATTTTCTTTTTGATAATAAAACTGTTGGTAAATGCTGTTTTCAAAGTTCATCAGCGATGTTTTCGTCAAACTTCACTAATGTAGCTTATAGGGGGAGGGGCTTATAGGGGCTTGTAGGAGGGGGGGATTATTGTAACCATAGGGATTCAATTGTAAGCATAATTTATAAAAAAATCCTCTTTCTACAAACCCGATCTTGAAATTGATTGCCCTTGAATACTCAATTGAATACTCAATGTGGTCGTGGCGCCCCCTCCCCCTCAGGAATAATAGTCACATTTACATATTTTAATACTATGTTAATACAAATAGCCGCGCCCCCTCAGCCACGGCGCCCGGGGCAGCTTGCCCCGGTTGCCCCCCCTTCGGACGGCCCTGCTAATCTAGAACTAGATACCGTTGAGCTGAGTTTTTCTAAGTCTTCTGCACTTGACGATGCCTCGTCAGTACTTAGCTCACCAGGCATTTTTTCAAAATTACAACCGTCGAAACTCGAAACTGAAGGTGACTGGGTTGACTGTTTGTTTACAAGGGGCTAATATGGGGAGCGACGAGTCTCGTCGCTGCTAATAACCCTATGTTCATGAATTTGTTCCTTTAGAGTTATGTAAGTATTTTACATCATTAAATGTATTAATTATGCTAATGAAAACTTCATTTAACAATATTCATTGAGTTAAATTATCTAAAAAGTCTTACAAACAAATTTATATCAAATTAGTTTCTATTATTCTATCTCATTTTACCCGGAACAGAAATGAAATTGCTGTCAGTGTCCATATTTTGGAGCTCTTAAAAAAAAAAAACCACCTGTGCAGGGAAAAGGTTTTTGGACAAAATCTCAGCTGAGGTGAGGATGAATATTGATAACATTTCCAAATTTAATACTAATACTTTTAAAACTAAAAATAAATTTAAAAATTTGTTAACCGATAATACACTATGATTTTGATGAATTACAGGTTAGTTTGATTAAGTTAGTTTTAAGCCTAGTGACGCCATTGAATGTATGCGGCTGTATACCATATGAATAAAGATATATTTTTTCATTTCATATCAATTTTTAAAATTGTGACGCCTGTGAAAATCTTCCGGCCCGGGCAATACTTGATCAATCCCCAGCACACATTGTAACTGTACACATTGAGTCTTACTAAAATGCAAATATTCTTATTGTTCAAAATTAATTTAATTACATTATTTCAGAAACTGGAAAGAGGATGATCAAGATGATGTCTCTGGACTAGTAGAAAAGAAGGAGAATGCTGTGGTACATTCAAGTCCCAGGTTTGTAATTGAATTAATACATAGTGCAAGAATTCAAACTACTATACTCAAGTTTAATATTTTACCTGGTCACTGCCGCTACTTTTGATCAGTACAATCAGGGTCGCCCCGAGGGTAATAGACGCCCGGGGCGAGATTTATATTTTCGCCCCCTCCCCATAAAAGGTATTTGGGGGTTTGCGTCAATAGACACAACGTCCGATATATCGATATCGAACGTTTTGCAAGTATTTTTTATAAACCCTTTACATACAGTGTTGAGTGAGTTTGTTTAAATATAGGAATGGGTCCATATAGATGGTCAATGTAAACAATGTTAGTAATGTTACGCTGTTAGCATATCATCAAAACCACGTCTTTATTCACAGTTTGAGTTCGCACAACACTGAGCTAATCGTAACGTAACAACTACACTGAACTAAATTACTAAAAACATTGAATTTACAACTCACAACGAACATCACGAAACTACTATGAGTTGACGTAAGAGTTTGTGTTTTGAGGTTAGAAACAAGCAAGTGTAGGTGGGCGTGGGGCGTGTGGACGAATGCGCAGTGTGTGTGTCCCGGACTCGCAGTATTGCCAACAAGTCACATGCCAAACATAAAAGTAGTAATAGTACGAGTTGTATATTAAATAACGGTATTTATTTTATGAATACAACAAAAGCTATATAGATTGCCTTTTTTGAGAATAGTTTTTTAAAGGCAAAAAAGCAACTTGGCTTTGGCTTTGGAATAATTATTGAGGAGAAAGGAAGGATACACAACTAACTCACCTGAATAAAGAGTCCCAGGAGGTAAAAAGAAGTATATACAGTTTATAAGTTTTAGTGTAAACAAGTTAAGTGTTGGCAAGCCTGTCAGACATTTAAAACAGTGCCGGAACTTTAACTGCCATTCTACCTCCTACCTCTGAAGAAGTCCCTGAAAGGGGCGAAGTATCAGTTTGATGTGTAATTTTCTATGTGTTCTTTTGACTTCCTGGGACTCTTTATTCAGGTGAGTTAGCTATCCTTCCTTTTTTGGAATAGTCATTGTCAATGATTACATGTTTACGAGTTTCCCGTGGAATATTCGTTTGCGGTTTGCCGATAACGTTAGTAAATTGTTTACCTTTCCAAAGCCGCGGTGCCCCGCTAGCCGTACAGTTCACCCCTTGTTTTAGTGGAGACGTTCCATGCACAGGCTTCTGTGGCCCATGTGGATGGGCAAATGCAGGTTTAAAGAGGCCGCTGACCTCTTAAAAATACTACATTCAATTTGTATTTACCAAATTTTGCCCTAAATTAGTATACTACTATTAATTAATTAGAATTCTTTTGTCTACAATAAAAAAAAAAAAAAATGTAAATTCGATATTTCCAATATTAGAGATGAATAATATGGGTTAAAATATACAAAGCAAAATATTTGAACTCTTTCCCATTATTCATTATTGTTTGATTTAAATTCAGCTGTAGCAAAGACACAATTTATTGCCAAAGTGAACCGCCATCGTAGTTCTGTATGGAACACTACTTACTATGCTTGATATGTTCCACAGATACCTACTGCGTCTATTCTCTATTGACAAGCAAAGTTTTAAGAGGCGGCAACTATTCCTGCTTAAAAAAACCACAACTGTTCTAAAGGCTAAATAGTAAAATAAATTATAACATACCTGAAACAACTGCATTGTAAATCGTTTAGCAAAATTTTATTTGAACTTTTAAGTAGTAGCCTACATTTATTAAATTTATTATGAATTCAGTTAAATTTTATTATATTGAGCATTAACTGCATGTATGAAACATATAATTTTTTATATTAAATTAGAGTAACTAAGATTGGTTTCTTCCATTAAAATTTTTACCCTACGACCATGACGATTGTCAGGACTCTTTAATACCTGTCCATCAGTTTATACACTTTACTCTTTTGTACATTAGTATGTATTTCAAAAGCTCAAAACATGTTATTGTAACAATTTTATTTGTAAAAAAAAATTAATTTCCAGTAGATTATTGCATAGTAATATTACTTGTAAGATTTGTGACAGCCCATCAACATCTTCAACCACATGTATCAACATCAAAGCGATGACATGATTTATAAGGGAGAGATGGGTGTGATCTATTTCTATGAATCCCAAAATAACTCAGTCTGTTGGAACCTTCACTACTGTAAAGTTGTTTCTTTCTGTTTTGGTGTGAAATACTAAATATTGCAGCAGTCGGTTTGCTAATTTTATTTCAGTAAGATTTATAAACAAAACATTAACACTGATGGTTCTTTGGGTTTTCATTTTCTATGCAATAGACAGGACTTGTGTTTTCTTCAATTATAAGTCTCGGCAATTTTTAAAGTATTTGGGAAATGTTAACATTTTTAATGGGATCTTATTTTTATATTATTAAAATTATGAATTTAGAATGTACAATATAACTCTTGATGGATACAATCTGTTCACGTACTCATAAATGTGAATTTGGTCTATCCACCTTTGCAAACAACCTACAAAATTTAGTTTTTACGTCAACTTATCTATACTAGATTATACTCTCTGCAAGTCCAAGAAATCTCGTTAATGCTTTCAATACATTCACATTGTTTTTATTTTATTTCATTATTTTATCAAACTGTTATGTTTCATATACATTTTGCTATATCTATTTTATTTTAGAATATATTTGTACACTTAATGATAAAGAGGGCACAACAAGGTAATAATATTGACATAGGTACCTTGAGGCTAAACTGTTTTAGTGTACAAGTGTATGCCACTTTTGATATCTATCACAATACCACAAAACAATTTTTAAAATCTGAACTCTGATAAGGGCCAACTTTTATTTTTGGCATTTATACTGAATCTAACCAATCTAAACCTATTTAATATTTATGAGTAAAAAATGAGCATTAATTAATGAGTCATAAATATGTTTTTTTCCAATGAGTTTTAACATGTAGGGTATGTAACTGGTATTTACATTTGGGTTTCCTGAACTAAACCTTTTTTTTACAAAACAAGAGAAGTCTTTTATAAACCTGTAATTTTTGTAAGTTTATGAACTAGTGTCTAAAGCTATGGTTCCACAGGCTGCGGAATTTCCGCCATGCGATGCGGAATTACAAGGACATTGGTTCAATGGACTCAATGGAGTTCCCTGTGTCCGGTTCCACTTACGTGTGTTTACGCGTCCGGAATTTTCGGTTTCTCATGGCGGACAAATCATACTGGTCTGAGAGCAGTGGCAGTGCGAGAGCCGCCAGCGGAGAGGAGCTATCAACTATTGTGACCGTGTAGTTTGCAATTACATTATGATTTGTGCTTATGAGAGGTGTTTATGAACGTTTAGTAAATTTTAGTACACACCTTAATGTTATTGCTAGTTTAATCTCGGCATTCAAAGGTTGTTTGTCTCGATTAGTAGGGTTGGTGGGTAAGTAATCTTTTATGACATCAACCAAAATGAAAAATTGGTCTTATGACACACGGAAGACCGCTTAAACTTTTTTTCATTGTCTACCAAATGTTTAAGAAGAAGTATGTTTAAGCTCCTTTGCTGTTCCGATTCTTAAATATATCACTCCGACCACTATGAGTTGACATCAATAAAGACAAAAGATCGACAACATCATCATCAACATCATCGTCATAAAGTATCGAAAAGCCACGAGGGCTTTCGTCTTCCTATCCATACTCGTCACTAGTTTGAACACAACTGAATTTCCGCAACGTATTTTCCGAAGTTTCAGAGGAACCATCCCTCCGTATTTTACGCGGCATGATTTCTGCAAAGGAAAATTTCACACTGCACGGCCGAAATTCCACAGTCTGTGGAACCATAGCTTAAGTCATAAGTGTAAACGGCTTCATAACCTGCAACTGCAATGTAGTAGGAACAATTTTTACTACACATAAATGTAAATTTAAAATACATTTTGTCAGATCCTTTGATTCCTTCTTGTATAGTTCCTTTTGATGTAATTGATACATTAAATTGAAAGCAGACTATTTCAAAATTTCTGAAGTGTAAGTAAATTTCCTTCCTTGTAATATGATTCATACCAACTAACTCACTATCATAACTTACACTTCTAACAGTAAATCTGAAATATTTTCTCCATTTTTTGGTAGTAATTAATGGTCTGTTGGGGTTATCTTTTAGCCCTACCTCAAAGAAAAAGGTTGAGCTTTAGCTCATGTTTAAATACCCCTATGGTAGTTATAAATCATCGGGAACATGATTACAAGTAAAAGAATCTTAGTTCATAAGTGAAACGCACAGAAAAAAAGGCTATGATAATAATATATCTAGGTATGTATAGACCATAATTTACTTAGTTATATACTAACTCAACTTTATTATACTTCAAAATAAGACTTGTTCAATGCTATTTCCCTGCCCTAACACGTTATAAAGACACCTGGTTATTGAGCTTGTCATAAGCTTGCCATTGAGCTTGTTGGGTCTGGGTCATATATACATTTCCAAGGATATTGACTTTTGCTCAGTCTTTTCCTAAATATTACCTTCTCCCTTAAATCCTGAGATGTTTAAAAAGTCAGAATAGACGAGCACACATTGGGTCCACATTTTTGTCCGTCTGGCTTTTTTTACTATAATCTTATTGGGCTGATTAAAATAGATTGCAATTCTACTTTGTAAGAATTCTATCGACCTTTTCTAGATTATAGGTAAATTTTGTCATACTATTTGCTTTCAACTTAAATGGTTCTGGTGGTCAATTTCTTGGTTTCAAAGATGAATGATAACATTTCTCTAAAAGTGTGATATAAAACTTTAATTTTCCATATCTGTTATTGCTGTACTATAACTAATTTTGTTTACAAATTTATCAACTTTTGATTGACATAACATTATATTTTCAGCAATACCTGTTTGTTTTCAGTTGTTGTGCTCACATCACTAGCATGTACCGATGCGGACTTATGTTTTCCTAGTGAGTAAGCTATTTGTCTGGTTACTAATTGTCGCTGTCGCTAAGCATCTGAAGGCTGTTATTCTGTTTTTGATTATACAATCTTAAAGTAAGATACATGTAATTTGATCACCCCATGGTGTTGACAGTTATTACAGAATCAAGGATGATTGTCTTGTAACACTTTGAAATATATACTATGGTACTTGTTTAAAACAAAAATATAACAAACAAATTAAAGTACGAACTTTACAACAACAAATCAGTGCAAAAAGTGCAAAAATTTACCTGAAAAACCAGCAGATTCCCTTGATTAGAAAATCTCCGAAGAATTGCTTGTCCCTTAGTCATCTTTTCAATAGTCAGCCCTGAACGACTTTAGCTTTACTTCAAAGAGCAGAGGTTCAGCAATCACATCCTGGAGACCCCATTTTCTGCATACTGGGTCGCTCACAAATAGACCCATTCTATGCATATGCTTTCTAAGGTGGCAGTGTCCTGTGATAAAGCCTGCTATCTGTTGGACTTCAGTCCAAGGAAAGGAATTCTGCTGCAGTTGGTGACAAGGGACGCTCAAGTGTTTACTCATATGCCCTGACCTGAGCAAGCCTCACATCTTCTCTTGTGTTCATGTTGTGCCCAAGAGTTTATAACATAAATTGCCCTTTTATTGGGGATACCACAGTATGGTTCGAGTCCTGTGAAATTTTAAGATGAAATACCAAGCCCAGAATGTCCAAGAACCAAGCAGAGTGTGACTGTTGAGCTCGCCTAACCTGCAGATGGCTTCAAAGTATTCCCAAACTAGTGATGTGGTCCGGGTAAATAACCATTGGGTAGTGAAAAATAATGAAAAACCTTAGCGGTGTTTTGCATGGTTCACTGGATTTGTCAGATTTGCCATGTCAAAACGGGTAAAATATGATGGCCATTTAAGTTACCTTTTATATGATTAGTTGCTTTGTGTTTTTGTCAAAATTTATTCATTAATGCACATTTTCCCACAGTGTGTGGCATCTTCAGAGTTAGACTAAACTATAAAAGTAAATTCACATATTTCTACAAGTGTTTGGGAGTCACTGTTGTTTTTTCACACCACGAGGATTACACGGTAGCGCGGTGACGGCGGGCGTGGGTCAAGTTTCATCAAGGGAGGTTCCAAGCAGATTTTCTTGTCTGCATAGCCAAGTATCATGATTTCCGGCACAAATTACAAAATGGAAATTATTTCCTATAGGAACACAGAGGGATTCTTAGCAAGAGGAGATGCTCATCTCAATTTATGGCCTCACTCCCTCTTTTTGTCCCGGTTCCACTGTGGTTTTTCTTTTGAGCCGTAAACTATTCAAGTTCACAATTTGGAAGTGTTCCATTGTGGCACCAAGAGCCGGGGGCATTGTTTAGGCCCATATTAAGTCTACAGATTATCAGTAGCAGTCACCCTTTTGTAAGAAGACGGGTCTGGTCCCATCTCCTTCATGATACTTGAAAGGTTCAAATGTGCCTCTAATCCATCTGTTTTCCCCCTACTATTTGGTAAGCCTTTTCCCACTCTTCAGTCTTGACGAATATCCCTAGTACTTACCTGACATGCCTCCTCCTGGTCATTAAAGGCAAATTCTGAGAAGTGTGTTATTAGAGAAGAGTCCTGACTCCTGACCAAATCCAAGGGGTCTACTATTACTCGCCTAAGAGCTTCCTTAGAGATGTTATGGGTCCAGCCTCAGACCCAAAACCACCTATAACATCAAACTAAGAAGAGGTGTTATGGATGGTTGTGGGTCTGAGGAGAGACACTTTCTTAGTCTAGCGTATACTAAGATATGCATCCAAAGGCTAGTAAGTGATAAATTCTGAGGAAGATAATAAATCATTTATACACTTGTTAAATCTTTTATATAAATAATTTATACACTTTTCATAATCTTTACTAGATGAGTAGTGGATTTCAAAGTGTCACAAGATATTATTTTTGCCTAGAACAAAATATATTGAGCTAAAAAATCACAGAACAATTAAGACAGAACAACAGTCGTCAGAGAGGCAGCCACGTCTGGCAAAGCATTTCTGTGACCTGTGACTAATCTTACCTAGACTTGACTAATATTTCATAACTCTTTACATCCTTGTTGGCTATTTACAGTTATCCTCCTCGCTGCACTACAAACCTCACATGCTGAGTGTCAAAGTAAGTCGATACTAACTCCATTCTATTGTTTGGTAGGGCTTTTCATAATTTTTTTTCTCTTGGTGTATTTCAGTTTATATGTGTTTTTGAATAAAAATTGAGATTATAATGCTTAAACAGTTAACTTAACTGTAAAATTAATGGATAGAATGGCTATGTTCAGTTGGATTCTAGGTGAACTGTGTAAATTTGTATATTCAAAATTTTCACACAAGCATTGAAAATATAAATTGCCTCACCTATTCTAGCATCTTAATTTTATTAACGTTTGACCAAGAAAAGCGTTTAAGAGGTAACACAGTTTTGGATGGTAGTTATAATGTATATAGTACTACAAGGAATTTTCACAAAGCCTAAATTGTATCAACTTTTGTATCAACAAGGGAACTTTTGGCTCAGTTTACGAAAAAAAATAATTCAACATGCATCAATGTGATTTTTGATAGTAAATATTTAAGTATTGATTTTAATAAATCAGAAAATATCAGCACAAATTAAGGCATTTAATTGTGAAACATATGAATTCTAATTTAAATGGAGTACTTATTAATTTTAAAGCTGTTATCTTGTTATAATTTATGCTCACCGCAGCTGTTTAGAATTATAAATATTACTGACCAAGACAATTTTAAATCAGTTTGGTCAGTAGCCATTTTAAACCGAATTCACCAGGAGAAAGTTTAGTATAGTTAGCTTTGTTGGGCCAATAAAATACATACTTGTTAAATTTGAGGGTAGTAAGTATTGTATACTGTTTCTGTAAAAACAAACAAATAATTATAGATGGATGAAAAAGATTAATGATTAGCTATAACACAATATAACAACATCACACCAATTGGTTTTGGTTTACTAACCCTCCATAAAGATAACAAAAGACAAAACTGACTCGTAATTTCTTTTCCATGTTGTGTAGTATGTCTGTGCAGCACAAAATCTTTTGGGTGTAACATCGTAGACAGTTTGGAATAACACTCTAGTCTCAAATATTACTCAGCATTTTATGGCCATTCAGTCTTCTATAAAAAAAAAACAATGATCCAATATGTCTTTAAGTTTGATAACGACTAGACATAATGAAAATAAATTCAAATTCAAGTGAACTTTATTCCATTGACACAGTACAGCAATTGCCTAGGAGCTTAGAAAGCAAAGAATGTTATATGAAGTAGCAATGGTTGGTTCTAGTCCAGAAATATTGGTATCAGTATTTTCCATTTTCCTTCAGCCTGAGTTATCAATGTGCCAGATGGTAAAAATCACTACTGTATATATGTGAGTGGCAGTAAATAATTTGAGAAATGTTTGATAACGGATTTAACTGCAACTCAAATTGTAACTGCACGGAAACACTACTTGTACAAATATAAGACTGCAAAAGCATTTACATTTATATTAAGTATAAATAAGTATAAAAACCAGAATACAATTTATGAAAATTATAGTCTTTGTAACAAGTTCACTTATTTTATTTTTTTATTATTTTTTTTTAATTGTGAAGCTATGCTAAAGTTAAACAATACAAATAATTTATAATTTTGTTCTCTCCACATGTACCTAGGCCCAGATGTCCTATGTTACATCACTACATTTATGTAAATTATTACCAAGAGTGTCCAATATAAAATAATCATATTATAATCATATCATAACAGTAATAATCATATCATAACATGGGTGTATGATATTAAAAACCACTGTCATATACCACAGAAGTTTACCAGAACGTTTAACAACCTAACAAATTTTAAAGTAATGGTTTGACAGTGAACATAAAGCCAATAATTATCTAATCGATTATAGTTTGAAAATGAAATAAATGATACAATTTGTCTAAAGAAAGCAGGACTAATTCTATTCAAAAATCAAAGATTTCTAATAAAATTAACTCTAGCAACATATAATGATATTGGTTGAGCAACAAACAATCTGGTGATCAAAATAAATTCTGCAATAGAAGTTCAGTTTGGTTACTTTATACTGTAGTTATCATGCATGATTACATCTTTAAGGTTGTTTAAGTTCATTTTTCAACTATTCAACATCATAAGTTAGGTAAGTATGGGCTATAGCTGGGCTGCGCTTTGAGCTACAGAGTTTATTCTTGCCTGAGTAGTTGTTGGTAAGTAGATATAAAACTTTGGTCTTTGATGACGTTGAGTCTTTTTGTTGTGTAGTTAACTTAGAAATACTTTAGTTAGATTAAGACTTACAATATAAAACACAATCATAGGTATGTTACTGTTTGTATAAGTAATTTTCCCATTAGCAAGGAACACAGCAGAACATTTAACTTCCACTGAAAGTAAAAGTTGTTCTAGGTTGTATTTGATAAAATCTTGTAGACAGATTATGCGAGGTTAAGAACATTTGGATAATCAGGGGTGAAATGGTGATAAAGGTAATAATAATTTTGTTGATCATTTCCAAATTTAGATTAACTTATAATATACATTTAAATCTTATTGGATCTCTTTGAGTTCATTTAAAAATAAGTTGTTGTTTGACCCAACACTTTATTTTTTAATTTTTACATTTCAACGATTGTCAGTAATAGCATTTTCTATCAACTTTTGTTATTAAAATCTTACAGTTTAAAAATATTAATTACATTCCCTAACAAAGTTTTCAAGTTCAAATTTTAGACAGCAATCTTGGAAAAAAGGTAAGTTGTTTTTTAATATCAGTAGAGTGTACCAGTGTGTGTGTTGTTTTTTTATTGTTTGAATACATTTTATCATTAAATTGATTAATATTCGATCATCCCGTCTCAAATACTGGAGTGATTTATTAAACAAGTTTATCATGTATGTAGTGGATTAAAAATTATAAATATTAAATATACTTTTGGATGTTTTGTAATGTAAAGTTTACTGGATTCAATACAGTAGTGTAAACCTGTACAAAGAAAAAATTTTAAAACAATAAGGATTCTGTGAATGAAACAGTTTTTGGACCTGAAAAATTAATTGTATTATTATTTGTTAGTTTTGTCATATTTTATGTTGGAATCGGTAATCTTGGAAGGACTATATGATCACAATGTTTATTGAAACTGTGCGTTTCATCAGCTGATTTCCCAATCTTAAAGTTATTCCCTATTTGAAATGCTCCTAGTTTTCTCATTCAACTAAATTATACAGATTATTTATATTTCCCACGAAAAGTAAAATTAAAATTACCGAAATATATGATTCAAAAATATAAGTGGAATGCATTCAATACCAGTTTAGGAAGCAAGAATTGTAAACAGCATATTCATGCTTTGAACATGCTTGAACACTATTTGTAAACTGCAAAGCTTATTTTAGAGCAAAAAGGAATTGATCGAGTCATAGTGATATTATAAAATCAGAACAGAAGTTAAAACAACCCAAGGTTGTGTCAAGAATATAAATAATTGTACAATCTAAAAATAAATATCATTACTTATTAAATTGAAAAACTCCAAATATAGTTGGTTATATATAATTTTGGAACATTTTCATTAAATTCTTTCTCTCTTTAAATTTGAACAATTCTATGTTCGCTGTTTTAAAAAAGTCAACCTTGGGACTGGATAAATTTATAATTAATGAAGGATTTATTTTACAGTATAGAACGATTGATTTGGTTTCTTAATACAAAAGAATTTTGCTGTGTCATTCAGTTATAGGTAGATTCAAAAAGTACAAATAGCTTTTACCTTTTTCACAGTGTTTCTAAGTAAAGGTTAAGATATATTATAGAATTAAATATGCATTGCTATGAAACTATTTTAGGTAGCTTTTATTGTAGTTTCACATTTGAAAGCTGCTGCATTTAACTGGAGACATGAGTCATGGAACATCCTACAGAACGGTCCACGAGAGTCTGCAGTTGAAGGGAGGAGCCTATTTACCATGTAAATTTGAAGGAGCCAGTGAGGACAGTGCGGTGTTGCCAAATCTAATAATATCAGCTGATTTGAAAATATTGTTTAGTATATTTTAATTAGTGTCAAAAAGTAGTGAACAGGTGATGTTGCAACGTCGCGCTACCCCAGTTTGGTATTGGCTGCCGCCAACTGCAGACTCTCGTGGCCCCTAGTATAGGTAAATACAATCTACTAAGGTATGAAAATATAACCTAGAAAGAAACGTGCAGGCTTAAGAATAATTAATTTGAACTACTGTATTATATGATCGTGAATCCAAAAGCATAATCAGAAACTACAGTAATTTAAGTGTCCTTGAATGAAAAAAAACTTTTAATAACTTTTTTCTACTAAACATACAACAAGCTCCCGATTATCCACAAGATGATTAATCCTGATCCGAAAAATATTATGAAAGTTAAATGTATGTTATAAAGTGACAGCCAAGATGTTTAGCGTTACATTGCGTTAGGAGACCCATCGCCAGAGACGGGCAGACAGTAGAGTTGTCATTATTTACTTTTCACCGACAATTGATGAGTCACCGATTACAAGCAATGAGTTAATAAGTTAAATTTTGTGTGTGTTTTAATCTTTGTTATTACTAATCCTTTATATAGGCTCTCTAATACATATTTCTTTTTTAAACAGAAGTATGTGAAACAAAGTAAAAAAGGTACCACTACAATGAAAACGTTTTATTATTACCTAAACCTGTATTACACACATTCAAAGTCAAAGTGTAATTTATTTCACAGGTATTATACATTAGGTTTGTATTACAATATCAACAATCACTCAGACACTCATTATCGTGGATAATTGGGACGTTAAAGGTTATTTTTAAGGAAACCAACCGAATCCTCGTCTTGTTTCTAACAACCGTAATTTTAAGTTGTATGAGAGACTCTTGTTGTATTGAATGATTGGAAAAATCACAAAACAAATTTTCACTGTGATATTCAAAGTTACACAAACCCGACTTAATCTTGATTGTGTACATACTTGTTTTCATATGTACGCAGCTCGCTCAATCTACTGCTATGAGTGTGACAGCTGGAAGGACGCAAGATGCAAGGATCCTTTTAACTATACAGCGCTTCCACGGGACCAGCCGCCCCTCATGACCTGCAATGGTTGCTGCGTCAAGATGGTCCGCAATTCTAGATCACGTAAGTTCACTCTTTTAAGTTATATAAAAGAAATTGACTAAAGCACAACAAGTCACCAAAAACACAATAAAATATGTCTTGCTAATAGGTTAAACAGTACAAAACTGTCACACAACCAGAAATAACTGCTAGTGAAACTATCTTTAGAACAACAAACCCATTCGATTGAATAATTGCTTGAATTAGTAATAAGAGTTAGAGCATCAGTAAAACCAACCAAGAAAACAGACACTAGAGATTGTAAAACTACCATCGAAGGTTTTTAAATAAAAAGTGAAAAATTTACAACACTGCAAAAGATGAAAACTGACTAACACATACAAATCACAAAAAAATAAAGAACAGGAAGAGTGAGTCTAGATGAAGAAAGAAAACTGCCATCTGACCAGATGAAAATGTACTGGCAGAACAGAAAACGGCAGAGAACAAAAAGATAATACCTCTTATTTAATTTACTTATTTATTTATTTATTTGAAACAAATTTAACACACATTTTTACCGATCATTATACACCATGCTGCAAAAGCCTGACATGGCTTGACTGCAGCTCAATAAACTAAAGAGAAATCAAGTCAAAACTCTTATCACTTCTATCAGTCAGTGTATTGGTCCAATGTTGGCCATGGAATGAAAATAAATAAGTAAAATAATATACAATAATAAATGTACGATTGAAGCGAATTAGCCTGGTATGGACACAGAGAGTTGAAAGATTTAGAGGATGCTTACTTACATGGTACCTGATGATTTTAATTTTTGAGTCAGTTGTTGCATTGTAATCAAATGCACAGTAGTGATAAGCTTAGCCCAAACCAAAAACCATTCACCTAGTTCTTTTTCAGCCTCTCAGGTGAATTCAAGGAATCCTACGGACAAGCCTTTTACAAGGTTTATGTATAACTTAGTGTTAAAATGCCCTTTGTCTTTATACTCATTAAATAAATAAAATATGTAGCTAGACTGCAGCACTTGTCCTCAAAACTTTGTGAGCGTATAATATCCTTCAGAAAAAAATATAAGAAATTCAAACATTTTATAGCATTGGACATTGTGGCAATGTTTTTGAAACCTGAAACAAGTAATAAGTTCACACATAAGTTGGGAGAATGGTAACAAAAAGTAGTTTGCCCAATGAAGCCCATGCAACAGGAAGTACTGGCTGATACTCCCTTAAGCCGCATCCCCACTATGCCGATTGGCTTGGAGGCACGGCATAGTTGTCGCCGGCTTGCAAACTGCATTGTGCCATGCATCTTAACTTAAAATGATGACCATTTACACTGTGCTGAGATGTGTCTGATGATGATTTGTTGTTAGCAGCTGTGTTAAGTTGTCATTGTTGTGGTGCAATAGATCCAAAGGTTAAAGAGAGTGTCTACTATCTTTAATCTGTGATTGAACAACCAAAGTCAACCCGGAGGTTTTGGATTCACCCCAGTGGGTATATTGTTAGTGACCTAATTAAAGATTTAATACTGGATGATGTTGACATATTAAACTTATAATTCAGAGTTGATGCTGAGTTCAGAAATACAGTAAAACCCCTCATATCTGACCATGACGGGACCGGGACAAGGTCGGAACGGTCAAAAGGTTGGATATCAGGAGGAGCAAAATAGGATCAGGATATCCTTCGGTCTTGTTGACACCGGTAATATGGTAATAGTCTCCTGCGATCACAGCAACGTGAGGATATCCTTTGGTCTCGTCAACGCCGGTAATCGTCTCCAGGGATCACGGCAAAACCCGTGAGAATGTCTTGCAGTCTCTGTGACATTGGTATTCATCTGTCGCAATTACTGCAACACCCATACCCATGCCTTTCGGTTAACCAAACACTCTCGGCACAATTGCCTATCGTGTAACAAGTAGACTGTTGGACACTAGGTTGGTTATTCCGAGGAGTCGGTTTTGCTGATATGAGGGGTTCTACGTTCTACCCTCATTGTTTTAGAGACATGCCTCATATTTCTGTGTCACATAGGATTGATAGTGAAAGGTCATATCATTAATGTACTTTTATTTTATTTTTGTTTCAGCCTACGAGAGTGTCCGGAGAACTTGTACATCGCAGTTACAAATAAACCTATTCATGGTGGATCATGTTTGCATGATGGAAAGTACAGGAACGGGCCATATGTGTTTTTGTGAGGAAGACATGTGCAATTCCAGTTCCCCCCTCTCTCCTCTCCTAATTCTATTGCTGGTTTGCATGATTCCTCAAGTGGTTAGATAGAGCTTGAACTAAACTGCATGTTTCGGCTCAAATTATCATGAAAAGTTCGCTTTCTCGATTTAAATTGTATGTATCCTGGATTATGTTTTTGATCGTTTTAAAGTAAATTCCGATTACTATAATTTGTTGAGAGATATTTTGTGTAAGAATTTCCACATTGAAAATCTTGACGGGTAAATTTATGGCTTACGTTCTAAATTTGTTTCACAAAGAAACTCTTTTCCAACACCAATGAATATAGATACAAATTTAAAAGTTATTTGCAATAAGGAATATTGTATACCTATTTTGTAAGTGTTCTCTTCAGGTATCGCTATTGGATAAGTTTTTGTAAAACAAAAACCTCGAATGTTCAGATAGGTTTTTATTTAATTTTTTAAGTCGGATTACACACAATTGAACCCTGGTAGTGGTGAAAAGACTAGTTACCCTAAAGTTGTTGCTTGTCTTAGCAGCTGAGTGTGCCTTGTGGATGGGAGGTTATGGTGCATGGTGGTTCTAGGAACTAGCTACCTAGTGCTAGTGGCAAAATTGTAATACAGGCTGGCTGCCTATGTACTGTAGTGTGGAACACTTTGAAATAATAGTCTGAGGGATAAGTTTATGGCATGCATTGAACACCACAGGAATATAGTGAGACAAAAAGAATCACTGAGGAATGGTAAGCCCATAATACAAAAATATTAGATCCAAGTATTCTGTTTTTTGTACTTTTAACAATTATACACATTTAGCAGAATTTTAGTTGACCCCCATATTAAATAATTTCAAAAAATATTTAGGGTAATGTAAGGAAACCCCCAGACTATTACCTCAAAATGTTTTTGTAATAGTTAATATGTATTTTTATTGGCTTGTACATGATGTAGTAGTAGTATCGTAGGTACATCAGATTTGCACTCTCTGATTTTGTTTTATCGAATGACAGTTTAGTATTTTATTTGCTTAGCGTGATGCAGCAACTAGTAAATGGCAATGTTAACAGAGTTTTGAACGGTTTGTTCAGTTACATGTGGTTCTAGGTTTAAACCAATTGACGTTTTTTGTTTTGATCTGCTACACAAACCACTGGGCTAATCAATCATTTAATAATGCTTACTTTTACTGAGTACAAATTTCAATCCACTTTTCTATTTCTGCATGATATCTGAATGCTATGCACCCAATTTTTGTGTTTTAATTTGCTTGCTTCTGCCTAAATTTTTCATAACTTTTGTCTACTTAAAAACAATATTTATAGAAATCGGTTACTAAAAACCTGGTGAAATCTATTCATGAAATATTATTGTAGTTATTTAATCATTAGACACTTTTATTTAGCCAGAGATTTATGCTAGAACAGTCTGTCTTACCAATGAGAATTCATAGCTTATCTAGTTACTTAATTTGAATTTCCCATTTAGTCTGGTCCATAATCCAATATTTTCAGAGTATGATTGTATTATCATAATATGTTTTTACTCCTAATACATACGATATATAGTGTACAGTACTTGATGTTGCAGATTTTGGAACTCGGAAGAGTTGGATAATTTCTACGGCCACAGAATGCTATTTGGATCTTGGTAAGCCAGTGACTATTTCTTAAAAAAGGGTGTAGAATAAACCCTCTTCCAAAAACCTACACAGGGAACTTGCACATAATTTCTAATCTGACAAGAAATATTTAAACTTCAAACAAATTGTGTCGTAAGCAGTAACGGTGCGGAGGGGCCCGCGCGCTAAGGGGGGTGCCCGTGAGCCTTGACCGGGATTTTTCAGGAAATTTTACCGGGACACGGGCTTGCGATTGTGTGACAGGCTCAGCCACACGGCCCCTATTAAAACAAAATTTATATGAGAATTACCATACGCTATTTTTTTGACGAAAATTTCTTAAACCCAGTTATAGCACTAGGGCAAGTAGTTTACAACAGCTAAACTGACACTATTACTTGACGGATTGATATAAATTCCCTTCCAACCTAAGTAAAAAGATTGCCATCAGTCGTGCAGGTTGCATCAACTGCCCTCGAGGACTGTGTGCAGTCGCTATAATAGGGCCGTATTTAGAACCAATGCGGCCCCCGGGTCACACCAGAGAGGGCAGGGCTCTCTATGCTGATTCAACTAAATGAGCTTGAAAATTTTTTTACGATCAAATGGGCAAATACCTAGGTGACTAAAGGCTAGGACACTAGCTAATAAATAATGCCATTCTTCCATTGATGCTAAAGGATTTTCATTTAATTTCATTTCTTACTATTAGGAGGCTGCCCTTTAGATTTGTTTACTTCGAGTCAGCTAAAAAATTTTACTTACCTATGGGCCTCGGGCCAAATCAGAAAGGTCCAAAAAAGGTTTGCTTTGGAAACTGGTGATTTTTATATAATGTAGATTTTCAAGCCGAGTAGAGCCTGGACTATAAGCCTGAGAGATCAAGCATAAAGTCAGAAAATCAAGCTCGAGCCGATTTTCTCACTACTCAATACAATAATGCCCAATTGAAAGTAAAAGCTTTTATGTCCGCGAGGGTCACACTCTCGAAATTGAAAGATTAGGCCTACGATTTTGCCGCGATCGCGGATATTGACGACAACATTTCCCCGCGGGTGAGGATATTTTCCGCGATAGCAGAAGACGATGATGACGTTTCTTTTTCCACGAGAGATATATCTAGGATTTTGCCGCGATTGTGGAAAAAATTATTTCCCCGTCACCACAGGTCGCGGGAGATATTAGGGATTGGGCCATACGACGATGATGTTGTTATCTGATGATGTCATAGGTTTGGTTGTAATCACTGTAGACTATGATAATGTTTCTTCCATGACTACGTGAAGTATTCACGATTTTGCTGCAATCATGGAAGACGATGATGACGCCTCGGGAGATGCTGTGCCAAGCAAAAGTGCAAGTTAAGGCGGTAAAACATGCGATAATGTTTTTAAAGATTATTGGGAGAGGGGGCTTGGCGAACATACTTGCGGGGGCCTTTGGGCTTTTATCGCCGCCACTGGTCGTAAGGAATAAAAAGCAGAGATATATTTAGATCATAGCATTCTTATCTTAATAGTAATTTAATTTTTAAAGTGTAGCTTTACATACTTTTCCCATTTATATTGAAAAACACTCAAAATTAGAACATTTATTTTATAACACTTGTGTTTTTTTTATACAATAAGTGTAAAGTATGGAGAGATAGAACAATAAAGTTCATCCTTTTTTTGCAGCTCCTGTTTTAGGCTGTAAAGAAAACTAGAAAGGCTATGAATTCTATTGAGTATCGTTTTATACCCTTTCAAAACTTAATTTAAGATTAAACTTAAGTTTGAGAACTAGTTGCTGCATCATCATAAATTATCAGTGACTTAATACAAATGTAACAAAACAAAATCAATAACGATGTACTTTAGATGCCATGCACCTAGAGAACTGTATACTGTACATTGTATATTGTATTGTGTATAGTGTATAGTGAAGGTCATGCTTGGGACTGGAGTGAGGGCTGCTGCAACTTATCGCTTGCCTTATCCTACAGTTGCATGTTTATCCGATGAGAATTAAGGTAACAACCCTACTATAATTTTTGCATGGGTTTTTAGACTGATTGTTTTAGGACTGAATCAGATGTATATTGTGTTTTCATTAACAAGAATTACAATTCCTTTGATTGTTTGATTGGAAAGTATTTTAATTTATCTTTTGCATTTCACACAAACGTAGAAAGAATCAAATTTGTGGATTAGAGTGTTTTTATAATAGGAAATGAATCAAGGAAGTTTTTATGTGCAAGAAAGTTAAATGCCAGTCGATTTTTATATGAAAACATGTCAACACTCGACTCGTGTAACCTAGTGAATGTTAGATGTTAACTTTGCAGTTGCAGTGGCAGTAACAGTGAGTACGCAATGTGCATGCTTGTTGCTGCACCCCCTGACCTATCCCTCCTCGCACGGCAATTACTACAATGTTTTACTACTTCCTCCTGGCACCACCGCCTAGCCGTCCGGTTCATAAGACCTGGCGGGTTCTTTTTTACTTATTTCTGGGCGGTGCCGCTCAGGAGGACTTTCACAACTGGCCCGTTTTTCGTTTCAGGAACAGAAACAGAGTTGTTTCTGTTCCTGAACGTGCTTTTATCATTGCATTCACCAGAACTACACGCTTTAAGATCACGGTTCAAATTCATATTTCATTCACTGATTATATACACATGTTGATGTAATTTAAATTTATACTTCCACTCAGCTCATAATCATTATCATATGGTCATTTTGATTTTCTTTATTTTACTTGTTATCTACATGACTGTTTCATTGTAATAAGGAAGAGGAAATGAAGAAGTGAGATGTAAAGCACAATAAATTAAGTAATTTTTGTAAAAGATGGTTTTGCTGTTGTGTTTTTTAAGCATTCAATCGTTTCTATTAAATACTTTTTCTTTTCAATAGTAGTGTTAAGAACATTTGTAATTAGACATGAGTATGTTATAGAATATTATTGTTAAATTAGCGTTTAAATCTATTAATGTTTAAATACCTGACAAAAAGAGTTTTCTTTTGATTTTATACATATGTTGAGCTTTGGATAGAAGTTAACTGTCTTCCTTTCATATACAGTCTTTTTGTGAATGTTAATGAGTGATTTTGCATTTTTTTTACTTACAGTGTAACATTGATTTTCCCGTTTTTGTAATGACCACCTACCCAAAGGAGCCATATGGCTGATTGTTAATTTTGTTATTGTTATCAAGATCTTCACCAGCTTTTGTTACTTCAGGTTTTATGACTATTCTATACAAATCTACCATTTATGTAGTTGTACTTTATAAGAATAAGTAAATACATGTAAAACTGACTGAATATTTACTTTAATACATCCACCATGTCTATACAGGTTCCCTGTTTAACATTGTAGTAATTATGAAATTAAATGCAGATTTAAGAATAAGTGGCTTTTAGCTGCAACTCTGTTGTACAGAGGTGTTGCTTGAGGCTGACGACGACTGATTCATGCAGTCTAAATCATGCATTTAATTTTGTGATTGTGCAAACCAAAGAAACACTTAATCAACTAATGTTAATGAAGCTTAGTGTGCCTATGTGTGTATAGTGGTACCGTGTCGTGGCATGACGTCTAGTAGCATGGGTGTTTAGTCTAGACTGTGTTCCCTTACACGTTACACGTCAACCCTAAACTATATGTGTGATATGTATAAACTAACAAACAACAATCACAAACACACAACGTATTCTTCAACTGTAATATGTTTAACTGTACTGTTTGTTTTAAAATAATTTAATCTACATTTTACCAGATACAGTAGAACTTCAAACATCCGGATGGGACCTTACCACATTCAGACAGTTGAATTTTAACTCTCAGGTCAAATTTCATTTTCAAGAGTTGTTAGCCTCCGGATTACGTTTGAATATTTATTATAATGGTTTAAATACCTGCATTCAGTAATCCAAAATTGTTGCTTGTGGCAACTATAGTTTCAATTCACAGGGAATCATCTTCAGGCCGTACAAGGCATCGTTATTCACCTCTGTATATGAAGGTCGTCATTTAATAAATAAGTACATAGAACACGAACACACACGAAAACGCACATTTAACATAAAAAATACCGAGTACTCAGAGACACGAGACAGGTGACGCGACCGGGTGGAAGTTGTAGCTCGAACTCAGGTCAAGCTGAGTTTTTACCATCACAATCGCAGAACATAGCCCAATAGAAAAATTCATGCTCCCCACGTGATTGCAGAGGACAATGATAGTCCTTGATTTTGGGAGACGATGATAATGTTTAAAGACCGCAGACGTTTAAGATATTGCTGTTACTGCGGAAAGCGATGCCGCAATCATGGAAAATTATGATCATACCGTGAGAGAGGGAGATGAGGGTAATGTCTACACTACTATGGAATATGTTCAGAATTTTTCCGCAATAACGGCTTCGGCTACAATAATGATTCTTATTCCTAGTGTGCTTAAAATTTTTTAAATTTTTCTCTAAGCAATTTGGATGGTTGGAGTTATACTGAAGACTTTGCTATTATCTGATTATTTTTATAGTAATTGATGAAATCAATTTTTTTTAAGGACATTTTTCCTTGACAATTCCATCCATCTATACAAGGTGCGGCAAAAAAACCGATCTATTTTATGCAGCTCACTGTTCAGCGACAGGTTGTCTGAGAGTGGTGGGGTTGGGCTCGTTGAAAAGCCTACTCGATGCCATTATCTGTGATCATAGAGCAGTGGTCATCAGAGCAACGTGCTTTTGTTATCATCAAGTCAAATTTTAAAAGTATTGATTCAGTCATTGCAACTCAGCGGCAGTTCCGTGCATTCTTGCAATAAGGGCAACATGGATTCCGTCAAGTAGGGACAATCATTTGGTGGGTTACCAACTTTAAAACAACGGCTTCTGCATTCAAAAAGAAGCTGACAAGCCGGCCAAAGTAAATCGGACACAAGACAACTAACTTTCGATGGAGTTTGTTCTTCTGTGGAAAACAGTCCTTGTAGGCCCATCCGAAAACAAGCATCTGCTTTGATCATGTCTGACCGCTCGGTTACACTAATTTGACGTTCAAGCTTAGTTCTTATCCATATGGATTAATCTGTTTAACTATGATGATTATCCATATAAATAATCGTGACGGAACCTCTTCATGTCCACCTAATTTAAAGAATGCATAAAAATGCCACTGAGTTGCAATGAATAAATCATTACGTTTTTAAAACGATTCTATAATGAATGCGCGTTGCTCAAGTGACCACTGCACTATGACTACAGATAATGACATTGTGTAGGCTTTCCAAAAAACCTACCCCCACCACCCTCAGGTGACCTGTCGCTGAACAGTGCAATACAGAAAATAGATCGGTCTTTTTGCCGCACCCTGTATTTGCTGTAGATTTCCAAAATTTTTCCAGATTTCCATTTGTAGCAAAATTTGAACTGGACAATCTAAAATTCTGTGTATCTTTTTAACTGCTAAGGCTAGTAACATTATGGAAAGGTGTTGAGCAAGTATCTAAACCTCAAAATCCAGGTTATTTTCTAATATTGTCCATACAATATGCCTCCGAATCCCAACATTCAAATTATTATAAAACAATGTATTATACAGGGTGATTGGTACTCAGTGTCACAAAAATTCTTTGGTGTAAGTACAAAGTAAGCTAGCAATACAATTTGCTGTTTATCTGTTTAGTACGGTTTATCTCGTCATCTCTGGCCCCTAAAGCCTCGTCCACACATGGCGATTTGTCTGCGTAAACATTGTCTGCCGACTGTCTCTGGAGTGTTGCTATTTTGTCTCCAGTAAGTCGGCCAACTGTCTGCCGGCTGCCGACAGACAAATTTCAGTGTTTCTGGAGACAAAATACAGTGTTTTCTGTTTCCCGTTCGAATGGGAAACACGGAGACAAGAGACAAAACTTTTGTCTCAAGTCTGCATGTGTGGACGTGTCTGAAGACAGGAGACTGGATACAAGCCGAAGGTGATCAACATTCAGCCCATTTAGTTAAGACTGCAAAGCGGTAATATTACGATTTTTGGGCGGTAATAAAAGAGCTGGATTGAGTTTCTTGAAAGTTTTGGAATTAGCTTTCCATGATTTACAACATTATATGACATTTTATTGAATTGTTCATCTCTTCAAGTTTGAAATCTTAAGACCAACAAAGCCCAGCAAAATTTCAAAATCTTTAGAAGTCAACCTCATGAAGTTCCTAAATCCTCCACCTTATCTGAAGGTCTGATAGAAGATTGTGACCATAATACGAACCTTGCTCGAGAAAATGTTGGGTCCATCATCGTCTCTTCCTAGATTCATTAGGCCCATGGTTCAGGAAAATGAAGCCCACACAGGCTATAATTACGTCCTCCTCAGTCACCATACCAACAAACATGGAAACACTGGCTGGCTAGTGTGGACGCAAAACACATCGGAAACTTGTATCTGAAACTGTGTTGGCAGACTGTCTGCCGACTGTCCGCGCGCAGTCGGCCGACTCAGTGTCCATGTGTGGACTAGGCTTAACTTAAAACCCTCAAATGGTGGGTCTATATTTTAATAATATTTAATCGTTAAGAGATTCAAACGAAACGTAAACCATCATTAGGCCTGTGAGGCCTATGTTCCAACAGTTTATCATGTGTATCCAAGTGACCTTGTCACATCAACCACATCATTCTATCAATGATCGACATTAATTTTGCAAGAAGATTCAATATTTTAATTTTTGCTTATGTCAATTCATTATTTGTAAAGCAACCATCACTTTTCTTCTAAATAAAAATTTTTGTTCTAAATCACGTTTCTATTTCACAGTATGCTCTAATGACCAAGTAATTTATAAAGTAGAGTAAGTTTGAAGTATATTTAACTATTATTAATTATAGTCAATTCCTAGAATATGCCAGTTTGTTTTGATTTAACCTCAAATTTTGACACAACACATGATTGCATTATAGCCAAATAGGTTCATCTTCAAAGATATTCCACTTAACTGCTTCTAGCTAAAAAAATCCAACTGTATTATTAAGCAAAACTTGTATTTTTGTTTCGGTTTGGACAGTAAAAAAGTTCCCTGTTTTCTGATATTCAAACCACTAAAACAAACAAAAGCATATCTAAATCTCAATAGTAGGGATGGTCAAGTCTCGAAATTTCGGGAAATTTTAAATCTTGTTACACGAGACGAGATTTCTTTTTGGCCGAGATTTTTACCGAGACGAGAATAAAAAAATAAAAAAATTAAAAACGCCTGCAGAAAGTCAATGCAATGCAATACAGGAGCGTGTTGTAGTTGCGTTTCCTTTGTGAAGGCGTTCTAATTTAATTAATTCTTTAAATGTAAATATTACTTTAATTATTTTAATAATATTACTTTAATAACATTTGAGAAGTTTTGTAAAGTGTAAGCAGTGTGAGAAATGTTTTATTACTATAAAAAGTCAAAACAAGTAACTATTTTATAAAAATTAATATTGCTTTTATTTTATGATTTATTTTATTTTAGGATAAGTTGAACTCTATCCTAACTGATACCACTATGTTTCCTAATCGTAGGCATTTTTAATAAAAAAATGTTATGCTGATGTTTTTTAATAAAAGATTGTAAATATTCTTGCCTATTATCATTATTTTTGTATTTAAACAGTCATCTAACAATGTTACAAAATCAGGTAACAATTTTGAACGTGCATTTCCCGTTGTGTATGAGAAGGGAAATCCCGTCTCGATCTCGTCTCGAAATTTTATGAGAAATAAAAAATCTTGTCTCGTCTCGTCTCGAACTAAAAATCCAATCTCGTCCATCCCTACTCAATAGTGTAGCATATGGTTGGAAAGCTTATAAAATGGCGCAGTTTTTAACATACTTGACCACCTTCTTGTATACAGGGTGTAAAAAAATGCAATAGACCTATGTTTTTTTTTTTTAATTTTTACCAAACACCTTAATTTTTATCTTTGAATCTATTTACAATGGAGTTTTTGCTATTGATGCTCCGTCATTTTCTATTATTCTTATTCAAAATTTGATGTATAACACGAAAATAACATTAGCTACTCAAATTCATTTACAGGTAATTGAGAAATTGCTCTATTAAGCTTAAAAATGGTTATTTAAAAAAAAAAAAAAAAAAAAAAACTTAAAACAACTCTTTTGAAAAATAATTTTTAGACTTGGAACCTCTTACATGCATCATCACACTTCATTTAATTTTTACTTACATCAACAATTTTTTATCACACTGACTACCAATCACCCGTATATAGAATTTATAAAAAATCCCTAACCAAGAAAATTAATTAATTAGTCTTTGGGGGTTCGATCCTAGGAGGATTAAACATTAAGGAGAGGACACGATCGAGTTTTGTTGAAGCCAGCCAGCCGACCGTGTGCCACACCGTGGGGGACATTGTGTTCAGAAACATACATAATAATATTTTTAAGGCTAACCGACCCAGCAACCAAACACACCAATCAGTTAGGACTGTTATAATGTCATATTAGGAGATTTTGTTACAAATGCTAGTTGTAGAGATTTTGTGTAAAAGACGTTTCTTTTATTTACTTTCTGAAAAACAGTCAAGTATTTAAAAGATTTATTGAAGACTACATCATGCGAACAAAATTAAGAACTTAATTAGAATCGCAATATTAGAAACCTAAATAATAGTCGAGTAAATATAGGCACTTGAGATTGAACAAATTCCAACAAATGGTTTTTCGACGGTTTTTGGTAGTAATAGGTGTAGAAAGTACCAGGAAAAAAGTCTACCAAAATCGGACAACCGGAAGTCGGGTTTTTCCAAGATGGCCGCCGTGAGGCCCTCAAATCGACAAGATGACTGCAAATTCGTCGATTCATAGTTCCAGGATTGGCCGATTTCCACGAAAATTGGCAAACACATGTAGAACTATATTTCCAACCTTAAATATGAAAACTAGGCAGACAAAGTAACCCAAAGATGAATTTTTAGGGTATTATGTGCTTAAAAAATAAGATTTTTTACCTCAAATATATGTTTTTCTAATATTTTGTACAAAGTTTGTTATAATTTCAAATTTATTTTTTCACCATTAGATTCAACACAAAAAACCTAAAAATTTAGTATATTGAATCTTTGTTCTGCTTCAATTTGTTACAGAGATATTGAAAGTAATAACTTTAGTATGTTTTCTTGCCGAGATGGCTCAATGTTAATCTTATGGAGAATAAGCATAAATATTAATATTATTTTTCATTAAACCTATATAGATAAGTCTTTTTGTTCAGCTTCATATTATCTGTTTTAATATTTTTTTTTACTAAACATTCCTTTTTTTGGCAGTTACCATTGCAGCAAACCTACGTATTCGGTTCCTCAGTTTTAATCATAAAGAGAATAAGCAAAAATCAATTTTTTTATTTGTCCGAGAAGTATAGAATATTACCTTAAAAAATTTCAAGAAAACGTTTTATGGTTTTATGTTGGGTATGAGTAACATAGTAAAAATTGCCAAAAATCGGTCTACTGGAAAACCCCTAGAATCAAGATTTAATATGACAAATTTTTTCAGCATTGGAAAAATGTAAAAAAAAAATCCACATGCATTTTCATTAATATTGACTTCAGACCACACTGATATTTATTGGGTGGTCATTTCTTAATTTCGATAGGGAACGTGTTTTCGGCTGCCATTTTGGATCCCCCTATTGGATATAAATATTTTTTTTATGTAATGAGAGTGTCATTTCAATAGGTAACGTGTTTTTGGCCGTCATCTTGGATCGGCCATATTGGATATAAATAATTTTTTTTAATGTAATGGCAATGTTGTGACACATTATTTTAAACTAGATTTTCACGCCCATTCCATTGCCAAAATGAGTTTTTAAATATCTTTTTTTCGTTTTAAAGATATATTCAAACGAAAATTCTCTTGCATACATTTCTTAAGGACGTTACGTATTTTGAACATTTTTTAAGATTATTTTTTTTTTTATATCTCCACGCTTGCAGTTCGTTCTAGCCTTAAACATTTAGATGTAAGTGCTTTCATTTGAGCTATTGATCATTAAAATCTGACGAGTTAGAGACTAGTTACCAACCCCAACAAAATATTAAATTCCACTTTTTAGAAATAAATTTTTATTAAAATATTTATATCTCGGGTTCTTAATACGCCTCCAAGTTCTTTCTGGTTTCATATTACTCAGTACATGTTTGGGTAATTTTTTTTAATCACTAAATAAAACGTGACAAATTTAATATGGGTCTGTCTTATTTAACAATATTTTTTTTCGAGATTTGTCTTTAGCTTAAGACATACCCCCAAATCAAGTAATAACTCGGAATACTCTTTATAATCTTAAAAGATTCATCAAAGTATTGACTTTTACTGTAGTTATGGATTATTTATTGGGAGTTATTAGAATTGGGGATATATGTACTTAACTAAAGACAAATTTCAAATGCAAATAATTTAATATTAAATTACGGTGCATGACTCATTTTTTATTAATTAGTCAGATATTATTTAGTGACTAATAAAATAAAAAACCTAATTCTCTACTGAGTAATTTGAGACCAGAAAGAACTTGGTGACGTATTAAGAACCCGAGATATAAATCATTTAATAAAAACTGATTTATAAAAAGTTAAATTTAATATTTTGTTGGGATTGGTAGCTCGTCTCTAACTCGTCCAATTTTAATGATCAATAACTCAAATGAAAGCCCTTACATCATTAATTATTTAAGAATGAACTACTAACTGAAGATAAGGAAAATAATCGTAAAAAATTTCAAAGTACAAAACGTTTAAAACAAAAAATGTATTTAAAAACGGATTTCGGCAATGGAATATGCGTGAAAATCTAGTTTATATAGTAATAATGTGTCACAACACTGTCGTTACAAGTTACAACAACAAAAAATTATATCCAATAAGGTGGATCCAAAATGGCGGCCAAAATACGTTTCCCATCGAAATGAAGTACTGACCACCCAATAAATATCGATGTTGGTCCCAAATTGTGCATAGAAAATTCTTATCTTTTTTTCAAAATTTGTCCAATATTGGGAAAATCCGACTCTGCACACCCAAAACTACAATATAAAACCATAAAACGTTTTCTTGTATTGTTTTTTGCTTTTTTTTTATTTTTGCTTATTCTCTTTATGATTAAAACTGAGGAACCGAATACGTAGGTTTGCTGCAATGGTAACTGCCAAAAAAAGGAATGTTTAGTAAAAAAAATATTAGAACAGATAATATGAAGCAGAACAAAAAGTCTTATCTATATAGGTTTAATGAAAAATAATATTAATATTTATGCTTATTCTCCATAAGATTAACATTGAGCTATCTCGGCAAGAAAACATACTAAAGTTATTACTTTCAATATCTCTGTAACAAACTGAAGCAGAACAAAGATTCAATATACTAAATTTTTAGGTTTTTTGTGTTGAATCTCATGGTGAAAAAATAAATTTGAAATTATAACAAACTTTGTACAAAATATTAGAAAAACATATATTTGAGGTAAAAAATCTTATTTTTTAAGCACATAATACCCTAAAAATTCATCTTTGGGTTACTTTGTCTGCCTAGTTTTCATATTTAAGGTTGGAAATATAGTTCTACATGTGTTTGCCAATTTTCGTGGAAATCGGCCAATCCTGGAACTATGAATCGACGAATTTGCAGTCATCTTGTCGATTTGAGGGCCTCACGGCGGCCATCTTGGAAAAACCCGACTTCCGGTTGTCCGATTTTGGTAGACTTTTTTCCTGGTACTTTCTACACCTATTACTACCAAAAACCGTCGAAAAACCATTTGTTGGAATTTGTTCTATCTTAGAGGCTTTTTTGGGCTAAATTGACTCGTCTATAAGAGGAAGAATGTATTCATGAACAAATAGCAAATTCAAAGATGACCAGTTAATATGTTTTTAATTTAACATAACGGTTGAAGGATGAATGTATTTTTATATTTTTCCCTGCTAATATATTGTGTTAGTTTTGATTATACCATTCATAATCCGATACTCAAATCATAAAGTTATATAAGTATTTGAATTTTTTTTGCACAAAAAGAAATAAAATAAGTTTTAAAACTATAAAATGACAACAAGTAGCCTACTCACTGTGGCATCAGAGGATGCGAGAACTGAAAGATTTCACTTTTTAATCAAAGTTTATTTGATATTTCTTAATATAAGCTCTCAAAATATGTCCTATTAAAAAAGTAAAAAAAAAAAAAAAAAACAATGGCCTAGAAAATATTTTACATTATATTTTTGTAATTTAATTTGAACAGCTGTGCGTGTAATAAAAGCGAACACCGCTTTGTTTTTTTTTTCTTGACTTCGGCTATTTCAAATTACTTGCCTATCACAAAAATGCTTTTAAACGAGCATTAAAGGTATTAAAAATCCTAGAAAATAATGAATGCTGATTTAATAATATTTATTTATTCATTCAAATTGCATTTTTGATTTAAAACCTAAATTTAATAAGCTTGTTTTAAAAACTGTGAAAGTAAAAAAAAAAAAAAAACAGTTAACACGGTTCTTTTTTTAATAACCCGATTAAATATCAGTAAATATATTATTTTTATTTTTAGAAACTCTTAGGGAACACAAATAAATTTATTATTTGTAAAGATATATCATATTTATTTCAAAATCGTAATTAAAGTAATCGTATGTTCAAAGTCCAAGACAATTCTTTCAACTTTGATCTTCAATAGTAAATAACAAATAATAGTTTTATAGAGATTTACACCATTCTAAAGGAAATATAAATTAACTTTAAGAATGCCACCACTGAATAACATCTGTGTTTTAGTTTAGCGGCAATTTGAATTTGAAACAGCATGCGTCACGTTTTCCCCTATCTCTCCCATGTTATAGCTGCGGCTTTTTGCCACTCTACGGCTCCGCGTGCCCCTCTAGTGTTCTGCTAAATCTGGCTTGACCACAACATGTATATTCCTATTCGCGTGCCCTCTCCTTAATGTTTAATCCTCCTAGGTTTGTTCAATCAGACAAAAGAAAAATAGCCCCCCTCTAGGCACCCCTGTCTCTGTCTACGTTATATACATTCTGAAAACCCCCTTATGCTAAATTTGGTTTTGATTTATAATTTAATTTGAATTCTTGTTAAGATTTTATGAAGAATGTCACCTAATATTTTACATGCCAATAAAACACACAAATTTAAAACAACATTTTATTGACAAACCTAACATAGGAAACACTAGAAACAACTTTGTTCAAAAAAATACATTAGGTAACTTATTTATTAAACAACAATAGGTAGAAAAGTTACATTTAACTTGAGTATTTAAATAAAATAAGAAAACTGTACTTTATGGAAACCTTAAAATGTAACCAATAGGTAATAAACTAACCTGTACCCATGATATGAGTACTTACAACAAATGCAAGGACACAGATTTGAAACCTACAGGATATTAATAAAAATTTTTTTTAGCAGGCCTATTGATAACCTAAAAAGCTACACTAAACACAATGAAGTAAAAGTTATGTACCAAACATACTTGTTTACGAAAGTTAAATATCTTAAAATGTACTTTGTATTGTTTAATAACAAATTCCCTATGTATCTAATTTCATCACAAGCTTGGGAAAAGCAAGGAATGTCAACAAGTCATAAAAATGTAAAACAATTTCAGAAGGAAACAAACCACATTTCACATAGTAATAAATGCCTATTAAATACTGTACCGTACCAATTGTGCTCCAAAATAACAATTATTATTTAATTTTTTTCTTTATTTTCTTTTTCTCTCTTAGCTTGTGCTAGTGCAGATTTTAATGCATCCGCCGTTTCACAAAGTAATTTTGTCTGAAAAACACAAAAAAGAAAAAAGTAATAGTAAATTATTAAATCTGTCACAATATTTCCTTATATGACGACATAGACTGTAGAGTCAAAACTGAGTAAAAAATATGATGTTCACTAAAATCTTTGAATGTTCACCAATATTTGTTTGAAGAGGCAAGAGAATAGCATTTTAACTCCCCATCTCCCAAAATCACAGGGCTAACTCCAGCTAACCGTTATGACATTTCATAACAATAAACAACACCCCCTAAGACTAAGACTAGTTTCACCTAGGCACAAATTGAAAATGACATTAACATTATAATTTGTTTTAAAAGCTTGGAATTAATTGAGAAAAGAAGACAAACCGAACCTTTTTTTCAAATTAGGTTAGTTTGATGCATAGATATGTAAATTTAGGCCTATATTTTACCATTTTTATATGACCATGTTTACTTTTACAGTAATTGTAAAAGTAATTAACCCAATAATTAACCCATAATTAACCCATACAACCCTTTGGGTGGTTAACTTTGAGCATCTTAAAGAGTTAGTTTACATCTAATTCCTCTGATATTTATTTCAACTGTAGAGAAAATTAGGCTCTGTAAACTTTGGCAAATTTGTGAGGTGTTTTTTTTAGGTTAGGGTGAACTAAGCTAAAACTTTCGATTTAGGTACTCTGATAGCTAGAAATGTCTAGGGTTCGCTCGCATTAAGCTGGCACTATTGTCGTAGATCGGCACTCGACGGTCCGAGTATCAATTATTATATTACTTTCACGATATCAGCACACCGACGCATTGATAAACTAATACGTTCTCTTCTAACTAAATAAACCTTTATCTCGGCCTAGCAAAATAATGAATCAACTAAATAGAATAACTTCATAATAGAATTACAATCTAAGAGAAATAATAAAATACTAAAAAAACGAAATAAAATAATCTCTGGTTTGTTACTGATACATCTCTCGGCTTCGATGTAAAGGAATAATCGCTTTTAATAAAACAAAATACAATAAACGGTATCAGCAAACTGAAACATACTTTCTCCTATAAGCTTTGGACGATTGGACACAGTTCTAGGCATTAAAAATTGCTTTGGAAAGTCACCAAACGGCTTTAAAAATATAAAATTTGCCCAGATCCCCCTCTTTTCTCTCAAACCCTCCGGGAGCCCCCCTTGACAAGGTCCTAGAACCGCCACTGATCTGACTCTCCCGAAAGTTTGTCCTGGCTACTGCCTTGGTAACTATGATATTCTATAGAGATAAATCACAAAAGTTGCAATAACGTTTGAACCGTAATCATTACAGCAATGGGGGGTTGCACTTTTTTTGTTTAGAATTATAAGGACCATTACACATTAATTCTAATCAAACCCGACTTTTTTCCTAAAATCTGATATTTTGTTATTTCATGGGGTTTTTATGGGAAATAACTTAAGTTACAATAACTTTTGGACCGTACTTTTTACAGAAATGGGATCTGTACCATTTTGTTCAAAATTTTAAGGACCGTAACATACTCATTTTAATTAAAACCGGGGTTTCGTTTAAAATCCAACTTTTTGTTTTTATGGGGTTTTTATAGGAAAATAGTATAAGTTACAATAACATTGGAACCGTAATTTACACATCCACATACACACACACATACGGGTCTTTACCAAATACTCGCAAACACCAAATTGTGACATCTTTCAAACTGCGGCCACCAGTGGATGAAGGAAGGTACCAAAACCTTATGTACATCAATATTTTTAATGAACACTCCAGTTTTTAATAGTGACCCCATGCCGCAATTCGGTATATATCAACAGTGTTTGGACAGGATGCCACTAATGCGTTGTAGCACTTGAGCAGTGTGTTTGTCCCCCCTACTTCTCGCGTGCGCTGTTGCCAGTTCTCCGTTCTAATTTATTCTGTTTTCACAAGCCTATTCCCTAGCTCGTGTCCCACGCCTATCACTTCGTCTTTCTCACTTAATGCTTATTAGTTTAACGATTTGTTTACATATTTTACCAAACCAGCATTATAATTGGACCAAACCAACAATTTTGACAGTTGGATTTAAAGTTAATAAACGGAATAAAATGTCGGGAGGATTAAATAAAAATGAAGACTAAGAAGTAATAATATTGTATTCTATGTTGTTAAAATCTTCAACTTGTTTACTTGGAAACTATAAAATACTTTAAACAAACTAAGCTAAAACAATTTAAGTATCAATAAAAACATGTTTACTTTCGACCAGTGGCATGATTTGTAAATGTTTATGGATCTTAATCGTACTATTTCTGTTCCTAATATTCATTGATTTTCGTTCGTTATTTTTTTGATTGTTATTATAACAGCCTTTTTATGGCTACCATGGTACAAAGGGTGTTATTTTCGACACAAACACAGACATGATTGTTTTTGGAATATTATATATACTAGCTGTTACCCACCGGCTTCACCCCGTTTGACTTCATAAGTATTAATAAATACATTGGTTGGTTATGTTAAGATCAAATAAACAAAACAAAATATGCCAGCCAGCACTCCGAGGTGGCAGCGGCTGAGTTCTGAACTAGGGGGGGGGGGGGGTGACTTGTCCACTGTTATGCAGGCTGCCATCGTATTGTAAGCAATGCACTCGATCCATTCGCGGCCTTAAAATAACGAAAATGTACCCCTATCATAATTTGACACATACAAATTTTCCATAGCAGGGTATTTAAGTAATTCAAAACTAGTTACACATTAGACAAATGTAAAAAAAAAAATTTTAGTATTGATGATTAAATCACAATTTTCATCGAGCTAAGTTTAATTATTTGTTTCTGTTTGATTTGATTTATATAATTTGTTTGGCAAATATTAAACTTTTGATAGTAAGTACAGTCAAATTTTAGGGATTTACATGTTATTAGTTGAAGCCTATTTCCAAAGCAGGTTTTACACAAACTCATCACCCCGTGACAAACCGTTAAAATCTTTGTAATACTTACACGAGCCATCATATCCTGGTCCCTTTTGTCAGAAGATTCTTTCACTGCAGGTACAGTCTTCTTTAGGGGATACTTGGTGGCAACTTTCTTGATATCCAAACCAGGCAATACTTTGACATTTTCCTAACCAATCATATGAATCTTTAGATATATTTAGTTGATTTAATAACTGATACACATGAAAACCTAAACTAAAAACAATCAAAACAAAAGATCAAAACGATCTGTAATGTAAGGGGTTTCAGGAATATAAATAGGAATGCTGCTCATTCAACATGTAGGGAAAAAGCCCTTTAAAAATTTTTGAGAAATTATTGACTAGTTAGAAACTAATTAAAAATCATCTAAAATCCTTTATTTCTCTATATACAGGGTGGCTGAAAAGTAACTTGCACCCCCCCCCCTTAACTTTTCAACCAATTGAGATATTTGAAATCGGTTTGCGGCAACCTTCTTAGATATGAGGGGCCACAATAATTATAGTCAATTTTGAAAATTTTGCCCTTAGGGGTAGCGGGGGTAGGGGGTAGCTCAACAGCTCAAAACTACTTTAAATAACCATTGTCTCAATCATTTTTAGCTGCCATTTTGTTATTAATGGTGTGATTTCTATTTTCTTTATGTTAATTGTTATGTTTCGTCAAGACCTACAAAATGATACAAAACTCGACTATACTTGCTATTTGAAAATTTTGAGCTACCCCCTACCCCCGCTACCCCTAAGGGCAAAACTTTCAGAACTGACCATAATTATTATAGCCCTTTATATCCAAACAAGTTGCCTCAAACCGATTTCAAATATCTCAAATAGTTAAAAAGTTAAAGAGGGTGCAAGTTAATTTTTTTGCCACGCTCATGGTTATTTGGATTTGAAACGTTTTAGGGCGCCATTTTGTTATTAGTGAGCCGATTTTAGTTTTCTTTATGTCAATGTTTATGTTTTGTCAAGACCTGTAAAATGATACTAAACTCGACTATACTTGTCATTTGAAAATTTTGAGCTACCCCCTACCCCCACTACCCCTAAGGGCAAAATCTTCAAAATTGACTATAATTATTGTGGCCCCTCATATCTAAGAAGGTTGCCGCAAACCGATTTCAAATATCTCAATTGGTTGAAAAGTTAAGGGGGGGTGCAAGTTATTTTTCAGCCACCCTGTATAATAACAGCAAAGCCAGTTCAACTGGCAAGCAGTTAATTTAACGATAACGATGGAAGTTAAGTAATAAATTATAGAAAAAAGGGGTCTGAAGGCCTTTAATAAATAAATAGGATATACATCTTTATTTTCACATAAATGTTTAAAACATAGCTATAATAAGCCATTTTTAAAAGCTTTTTAAACCCACAGATTAAACTTTTATATGTAAGTTGGGCTTCCAACTTGGTTTTTCATTCAGGAATTTTTATTTAAACCGGGCTGGGTGGGAGTAGAATGAGAGTGGATGATGTTACAGGATTCAAGGAATTTGCTGGATAAAGAGTTATAATTTCATCTTGCCCATTTCCCAGTGATCTTCAGGATCAATGACTGAACTTGCTGAGGACCTTCTTCTTTCCTCCTATCTAATTTCGCCCGGGCGAGTACAAATCGGCCGGACAAATATTTGTAGTCGACCATTGGAGCTTATGAAACCTTTTACATATGCGGTTCCAAACCGAGTTCAGTTAATACCAGTATTGCGCCCGGCTGGTGCCACTAAGATCTCAGGGTGCTTTCGTCCTACAGAGGCCACCTTATACAGCGCGTTGCGGCGGTTATGTTAGGTTGGGTTATCATACATATGTTTGTAGGACTTTCCTCGTTTTGTTACGAATCGAACAATACCAGATGAGTCATACTTTCCTTAATTCATTTTTATACGTTAATTTTTAAACTTGCAAAATGAAACCTTTCAAAATTATCAGCAGTGGACAGACCAGGAAAACCAATTCTAAGAACTCTCTTAAGGGTCTGTTATCTGCCGAGTTATGATAAAACCCGGCTAGTTCTACAATGATTTTGATGAAGCAAGTACAAATTTTAAATGTATGTGTGTTATGTATGGTTTAAATGTTTTAAATGTATTTTTAATGTGTTTCCCATCAAGTGAGGCCTCATTTTACAAACCATTAGTTTAAAAGAATATCCATGAAAACTAGTGGTCCCTATCTCAACCCATTACAGAATGGCGGACGTTTTTATTTTGCATCAGCCTGAGGGACCTCATGTAAAAATATACATCAATATCCCCTGTATTATTAAGCCCCATCAAGTGACTCCTAATTTTGAAGACCATCTGTTAAAAAGAATATCGGTGAAAACCAGAGGTCTCAATCTCAACCCAGTACAATATGGTGGGAGTGCCCGTACAGGCCGGGGAGAATTCCCCTCCCTCAACCACTCGAGGATCAATTCTTATGTTTCAAGCGACCCTATTATCTACCCGTTAAACCCCTGGATCAGTTTAGTTTGTACGATCCAAAACTACCCTCTGACCGCGGATCAATTTCAGCACACGCTCCTAAACATAGCAATTTTAGCTAATTGAAATTCAATAATATATTAAGCTAATAGTTGTGAATCTTTTTTCATTAATTAATTTACATTCTATCTGGTGACTTGGTAACATATTTTTGTTTTTCATAATAATGAACACTATCAATCAAATTTTAGCCACCCTGAAATTTTTGGAACCCCCCAAGAATTTCCATGACACAGTCTGTGCCATAGCCCCCCTTGTGAGCACCCCTGTGATTCCCAATATACTATTAGGCCCACCTAGTTCTATATTATTTTGAGATGCTCAATATTTATTGATAGAAGATTAGAAATACCTTAAACGATCAGCGCTATTTATTACATTATTACAACGATTGGCGCCTAAGACTTATTACACTATTTTTTTTACATTGATGTCTTACTGGTACATAAAATTTAATAATACATACTGCAAGATCTTGTCTTTGTTGAAGAATTTCTGCTTCAACGTTTGCCACCCTATTAGGTACGGTGCTTCTTCTACTGGTTACGTCATACAGAACATCTACTACTTCGTCTTCGTCAGGGTTTGAACACTGTTCCCTTTGATCAGCCATCTAAAAAAACATACAATTTTGGCAAAATACTTAAGTAGCCTTGGTAAATAGGTACTTAAGAACTGTAGAGTTTTCACTAAAATCTATACCTAGGCATGGTGATTTTTATGATTAACATAAATCATTAGACAACCGAAAATTACCCATTGGTTTGCGTTCAATTTAAGAGTTTGATCTCTTTTAGGTCAGTTTAAAAAAACTTAAAAGTTTTTTTGGGGAGGTTTATTTAATTTCAATCAGATTAATTTTTAGGGATAAGATGTTTTTTTATTTAGGCTAACTAAGGAGGGATGAAAAACACACTGCGTAGAGTAAGTTGAATTACATTTAGCCTAAGTTACTATCACCATTTTGCATCATCAGATCTACACTAAGTCTATCTCTAAAAGTAAGGTAGGCTTCAATTATTTACGAACGCCAATAACTTAGATCCACTGACTTCAACAAATTTTCAAGGTCGAGTAAAAGCACGAGTCAATAAGACATAAGACATTCATTGATCTTTAGGCAAAATTACATGCAATCGATCTTGTCATGGACGATTGAAATGCACAAGTCAGTCATAAATACAATAGTAAAACATGCTAAACTAAAGCAAACATAAAAAATAAGTGTTCATTCTACAAAATTAAATAAGAGTGGCTATTTTAGAAAAAAAAACAAAACACATCATGCAGAATTGATGGAGCTAAAGTCTGCTTCAAAATATTCTTTAAGGCTGTAGAAGGGCCTTACTATCAACCATGCATAGATCACCTTCTTAAAACTACCTAGCTAAGCTAACATGCTGAGCTGAAAAAGGCAAGCAATTGAAAAGGCGAAGCAATAGCTGTAGCTTCGAAGGATGTGAGAACCTTGGTCAGTCTTGTGTAGGGTCTACAGATTTTGTTTTGGCCTCGTGTCCCATGGCTGTGTACGTGCCTGTGGAGAATGAGAGTGTTTAAGTGCTTTTTGGTATGTAAGAGACATGCAAAAATGTACAGGTTGACTACAGTTTGAATTTTTTCCTGTGAAAAATAGGTTTGCAGTGTGTATTTGTGTCAGAGTTAGTGATGATTCTCAACATCTTCTTCTGGGCTACTAACACACTACTTATGGAGCTAGAATTTCCCCAAAACATCAACCCATAGGCAATTATACTTAAAAAGAGAGAAATAAACCATTCTTAAGCAATCAGGGGATATACAGACTTTTATCTTTCTAACTAAACATATTATTCTGTGTAACGATTTACATAGGTGTTTGACATGCTCATGCCATGTTAGTTTGGAATCTATGTGCATAGCCAGGAGCTTAACACACTGAGAGAATTCATTTTCTAAATTACCAGTATTTGTCAAAGTAAAAACAGCAGTTTGAGTTTTTCCCTATTCATTAGCAACATATTGGCTTTGTACCACTCATTTGCCTGATTAAGAATATTATTAGCAGCCACTGGGATTTCGAACAGTAAGTACTAATTTTTTGTGAGAAAGGTTACATCATCAGCAAATAAGATGGATTTACATTTAACATTTGACAAAAAATATTACCAAAAAAATATTTCCAATTTGTGCAAAAGAATATTACGATCGACACAGTCAATGGCTTTTGACAAATCACAGAGGACTGCTCCTGTGGGATTTCCGCTTTCAAAGCCAGCAAATACATGACTTATGAACAAACTTTGATTGCATCGATCGTAGATCTACCAGGCCTGAAACCATACTGACAGTCAGTAAAAAGATTATGTTGTTAAAAAAAATTACTTATTTTATTTTTTACTACAGTTTCAAAGACTTTTGAAATAACAGGGACCAGAGAAATCGGCCGGTACCCTCCTGGATCACTCCTGCTACCTTTTTTGTACACAGGCACAACTTTAGATATTGTGAGTTTGGATAGGAAAATCCCCTCATTTAGACTGGCATTAATACACAAAGCTAAAGGTTCAGCTACTGGTTCCATTAAGGCTTTTAAAAGGACTGATGATATGTCATACAATATGTCATTTAATAAACCCGACAGCCCACATATAACTTTAAAAATGTTACCCATGGTCATTAGGACGATTTAAACTTACACTACAACCTATATTAATAGGTAACTGCCAAAATGTAACTCAGAATGCGTTTCTAATATCTAGGCTGGACAAGGCTAAGTTAGATGCACAAAATGTTGGATAGGGCCTAGTCCAAATACTAACAGATTAACATTAATGGATAGTAACCACTCTCATAGAGTGAAAATATGCTACTCAGCTAGGAAACTTGTACCACATGTTTTGCCTGTTGGATTAGGATTTCATGTTAGGTTGAAATAGGAAAATGTCATGTAGAATATTATATTTGTGGGCTTAGGCCTACATTATTGAATTAAACACAATTTATAGGCCTAAAATAAGATCTAGGAAATTTAACAAGCTGCGTGCCATCCAATTAAATAGGTTCAGTTTTCTGCTAGGCGTTAAATAATAACTTATGTCATATCTGTAGGTCTTCCCGAGTAAACTCATTTGGTCAAAATTTGTTAGGCCTACTTATTTATTCTTAGAATATTTGGCTATATTCTATTAAACCTTGGTCTGGCTTAATATCAATATTAAACAAATGCAAGTGCATAAATTGGAGAACAGTTAGACCTAAATAATCAATTAGGATACCCAATTTAGGCCTAACTTACTATAAGTTAATTTAAGTAGAGCAATAGATCAGGTAAAGTTTACCAGTTTGACCAATGAAAACCCCTAACTTAGGCCTATTCCATGATAAGTTTAGCAAGTCGCCCAGGTAATATTGACAATCTGACATAAGGATGGTAAAGTGAGAATTTTTGAAAAATGTGAGTCGTAGGCAGGTACCAATATAATAATAAGGCTAGCCCTAATACAGAATTACAGAGACTGCCAATTTTTTTCTTTCAGAACAAAAATAAGTATCTTAGGCCTACTCCTACCAATTTCTGGGATGAAAATACTTAAACTGAGTAAAACATCAATTTAGTATTTACAATTAACAATTTGACTAGGGCCATTTAGATATGAAATGAAATGATTTATTGTAAGAATTGTAATATAATGGTAATGGGCTAAAACCTAGGCCTATACCAAATCAAGATTATAAGAAATAGGGCATATTCTGAGAATTTCGTTTCTAAGAAATAAAATACAAACTCATTTAAAAACAGTGACTATTTGGCCCATTAACATCAATATTTCCTATACTGTAGAAAAACACATCTGAATTGACCTACGCTAATTACCTATACTAGGTTAGGTATTCACTATTTAATAGAGCAGCAGAAGCTTAACAAAAAACCTACTCTGTAGACCGACGTCTACTAATAATTCATTATCCAAGCTAATTTTTTGACTTTATTGTTACTTACTGAAATCTAAACAAGATGTCCTAATTACTTATAGAATACGCACAATATAATTTTTAACTGTTTAATAGTTTAGGCAAACAGTAAATAATAATATAATTATACTTACAGTATTTTTTTATGAAGAGAACACAGAACAGAAATAAGAAAGAAACTTTTGGTTTTGGCTTTTGGCGCCTGACGGTCTGGCGGAATTCCTGATCCTGACCCACATAGAGTAACGTAGTGTAGAGTCTCAGTTAGTCAACGTCCCACAAGGTCGAAGTCTCATATCATCGACAAAATGGAACCTTAGGAGCTGTGGGATATCATTACTGTAGTCTATCAACTAATTTTCAATATAAACAATGTATTGCATGTATAATTTTCCTACTATGACTGTTTTAAAATCGTATATATTAAAGTCATAAGTCATTTAATTGGCCAGATTTACATTAATGCATTGGCTAAGTCAATATACATTTAAAAAAATACAAATTGTCTTATAAACTATAAAATAACTACTAAAATAAACACTATTTACATGTAATCAATTCATGAACCAAACATACCATATGCCCATGACTACCTATCAGCAATAAAATCACGGACACGGTAGTAACACTTGTACACCAGTATTTTCTAAGTGATTTTTTAAAAATAACAGGGGTTGACTCAATTTTTAGATGGGTTGGCAATGCATTGAAAAGCAGTATACCGTTTTAATAAAGATGTTTTTTGAAAAAGGTGGTTGAATGTTTTGGTATCTAAAGATTAAGCCTGTTTGGCAAAGAATATCCTGGACATGATCTGAAAAAATGGAAATGTTCTTTTTCAGAAAAGATAGTGTTTCAAGGTTATGAAACGTGACAAGGTTCTTTAATTTCACGATTCTAAATAATTAACCCCTTGACGGATTTTCATAATCGTTATGTTAAATTTATTTATTCGTTTCAAAGGGGACACCATTAACAAAATTAAAGATGCTTTAAGCACATGAGCAGAAGAGATTTTGTGTTGAAAGAAAGACAATTTTGAGAACTAGGGAATGCCGAAGCCGTTATTTTAGTTTAGGGTTTCGCGATGTTAAAACACGATTTTCGAGGTGAAATAGTACGGTATCGTTTCCCCCAAAAGGGACAAAGGTAAAAAGTGCTTAAAATAGCCTAATTTTGGTAGAATAAGGTAAAAAAATGCAATAAGTAGTAGGTATAAGCTCATAGAAGGGTAGTTTCCCTAAATCTTTTCCCCCAAAAGTGCCAAAGGTAAAAAAGTGCTTAAAATAGCCTAATTTTGGTAGATAGGGCAAAAAAATTCAATATAACATAAGTAGTGAAGTATTACTATTCTATGAATTCAGAGACGGTGTAATATGATAGGTCAAGTAGGCAATGTTTTAATTTACTGGCAAATTTAATGTTGTTGTGTATTTGAGGTGGTCTGGGTGTAGGTTAAAGAAACGTGAATCTGTATGTAGTGGAGTGACGTATGTAAAGTATGTTTAAGTAATAGTCTTTTTTAAAAACATTTTGACAGCTATGCAAAACATAACTGCCAGGTACCTTGGGGTTATGGTGGACTGCAAGCTTAGTGGGATCAGATCTTCCGTACGGCGGACAAGGCTGTTAGGGTGGTTTCTTCTCTTAGCCGATTAATGGCCAATGTCGGACGGCTTCTGTCCAGTTGTAGGCTGTTAATGTCTTGGGTCCAGTCCGTACTCTTGTACGGTGCGGAGGTGTGGGCAGACGTGTTCAATAAGGAGGTATATAGCATGCGGCTCGCCCGAGTGCAGCGTCAGGCAGCACAAAGATTACCATCAGCCTACCGAACAGTGTCCGAACCCGCGTGTGATGGTTGCTGGAGTAATCCCCATGAAACTTTTGGCCTCGGAGAGAAAGGCAATTTATCAGCACCGTGGGGAGGACCATGTCACGAACAGAGGAGCGCACCCGCACCTACCAGCTGCCGCAAAACAACAGGAGACACGGGGACGCTGGACCAGGCGACTGATACAGCAAGTCCAACCTTGGGTCAATCGGCGGTGCGGAGAGGTGGACTTCTACCTCACCCAATTTTGACGGGTCACGGCTTTTTCCGGTCGTACCTGACTACCTCTTCAGGATGTGCAAAGCAGTGTCACCCGATCGCATATACTTCCCAGGCATTCCCGATGACGTGGAGCATATCTTTTTCCACTGCTAGCGTCGGGAAAGGCCCCGCCAGGAGGCTCAGCAGTTAGTAGCTGTCGGTGGACACGGTCATGCCGATGATGACGGAGGGTGAGGACAATTGGACCTGTGTGTCCCATTACATCCAGGGTATTTTCCGCACCAAGAAGCTCAACCTTGACTGGGATGCGGTGTAGGTCATAAAAAATCTAAATGCCAGAAACGGTGAGAGCCCTGAGGGCTTAGGACACATGTTGGCGTGACTTGAAATAATGTGACAAACAATTCCAGGTCCGTGTCCAACAGAGGTGTTGAGGGGGGGGGTTTAGAGGGCGTGAGTAGTCTGATAAATTCAGGAGTCTCACACTACAGGCTGGCTTACTTTGGGCGTAAAAGCATTTTCCCTCCTCTCCCTATAAAAGCAAACAAAAAACTTAAAAATATACATATATAAAAGGTAGTCTAATGTATCTTAAGGGCACACTAAGATTTAGACAAATTTTAAACAACAAGTAAAAAAATTATTTATTACTCAGTGAAGTGTCTTTTCGAAGTTGGCTGAAGACAATTATTGAAAAAGTTCGGGATTTGACCATCAGAGAGCCTCAGTTGGACCGTGATCAATTCTGTTGCGACAGAATAACAGCTCCACCGTATCCAATAGGCAACTTCGTATAAGGACTGGTCTACTTCAAACTTTGTTATTGCCTTTTTGTAGTTGCTCGTATGACTTCAACTTTATAAATTATATAAAAAGTGTTAAACTTCATATTTTTAAGACATGCTAAAACGTTGAATTACAGTAATGTAGCAAACGGTTTATACTTACTGTACAACGATTTGGATCACATTTCAGTATGTAGTAGTTAATACAATTTTTTATTCCTTATTAGCATAATATCAACCTTAAAACCAATGCAACAGAACCTTTCACAGTTAAATACAATAAGAACCAATATTCTTTCATTACGATGATACAGCTAAATGACTAATGAAATGTATTGCACTTGAAAGTATTTCATAGTTATATCTACTGTAGAATGTTTCCAGTTGAAATTACACACAATTTCTTCACGATTAAAGTCATAGTATACGATTCTTGAAAAAGTAAAAAAAAATATATTTTTAAATAATTCATTTTAAGTGTAGCTCAAAATAAAAATAGAATATGCCTAAACCTACGACGTTGAATTATGATTATAATAATTCCGTTTATAATTTTTTTTAATTGAATGTAAATAAAGTAAATATTAGTTTTATAAATATTAATGGTGTCTTATATTTGTAAAAAAAAAACTCAAATACTACGTCAAAATCAATCAATAAAAATTCAATTGTTGGTAATTGAACACTCTGATCACCAATAACATTACAGACTTTATTACCTTTGTAGGCCTCCAAAAGATGATTAACTGATTCAATTGAATCTCTTTACAACTTGGGCCATCAAACATATTTTTGATGTAATTTTAATTAGTTTATACTTTTAGAAACAAAAATGTTAATACAACGTAACTTATATAACAGTTAGTAAATATAAAATACGATATAAATATATAAATTACTGAATGATTTGGAAACAAAATAAAATGTAAACATGAAGTGTCAGTAAAGTTAATATTGACTGAACAAAGACGAATTACAGTAGAACTAGGTTTTATCATAGTTTAACGTTACATTACAGCTTTTGTCTTAGTTTGTATCTATTTAAATGTAGCGTATTTGTTGCAAAGAAACCAATAACAATATTTAGGAAGACACGACGCAAGGACAATGTATTTAGACATAAGCTCATGTTACCTCATGAGATATTAAATAATACCGATTAACTTTTGGTTGGTTAGGAACTTTTAAAAGCACATATTATTTTGTAACACGATCCATTTATATTTTCACATAGTTTCTGAGATATTCGATTTTGATTCTAATGATTCATTCACCAGCCCATTTTTCCTTCTTTGATTTGCTTTGGTAAATGTTTTCGGGCCATAAACTCAATTTTACATTATTCTATTGAGATAGCTCAGTCAATATAATTAGTTCAAACTACAGTATATTAGATTTTAATAATTTATAGTAATATTCCAATGACATGACGTTTGGATATTTATAAACTAAACACCCTATAAGATTCGAAATGTTAATTACTCAGCCTCTTTTGAGAGGGCAGAGGAATAAACAAAGGGACTTTTTTTAATTGAGTAA